TAAGTACGAGAGAATGGATATTGGGTCGGCAGCTGGCAGTGTCTGCCACTCCGCTGTGAATTTAAAATGATAATTGCTGCTTTCAAAATATGTATCAGTGAAGCTCTACTGATTGCTGTACACATGTTAATTGATGGGAAATGTTATCATCTCAATATTTCGGTTGAATGAGCTGAGATAGATAGAGGTTAAAAAGTTAACTGGGATAAGAGGGAAGAGTCTAGCAGGGGGGATTTTCTAGCTGCTTCTGTAAGTGCCCTTTTTGTAGGAAGGAAGGAGATTCAGTGGGAGGGTGTGTGAGGGGGGTGACTCGGGGCCTTCCCAGAAAGCTGTCATTTCAGGGCTGAAAAGGCTGTGATGGCTGGAAGCTGGGCGTACGCCTGTGTCTCTTCAGTCCTCTCTCACGGGAAGTAGATCATCTTTTAAATAATCTTTTGCACTTTTTTTTTTTTTTTTGCCAGAAGTCCTTTCAATTATGTGGAGCTTGCATTGGAATAATTAAACCCTGTACATCAGGCCACTCACTCCAATCATCCAGGCAAATCAATTAACCAAAGACAACGTTTATCTCAGTGACTGCTGGTCCCCTTCTGATTTCAAAGCGTTTGTGCTGGGGCAGCTCGTGGAGAGAAGAGTTGTCTGTCCCCCAAAGACAACTCGTTTCCAAGGGGCTTTCCAGATGTAAAGCAATAGCAACCTCATTGTTTATTTTATTCAAGATTTGCTATTTATTTTTATTTATTCACTCAACAAATATATATTGAACACCTACTAAAGCACAAGGCTCCATGCTAGGTTCTACCAGGGATACAGAGATAAGACAGGCATGGCAAGTCGCTGGACCTTTCTGTGCCTCAGTTTCCTCTTCTACAAAATGAGGACAGTAGTCGTATCTACCTCATAGGGTTGTGCGTATTAAATGAGAAGATCCATGCAGCGCATTCAGTACAGTATCTGACATGTAGCAACTCCATGTACCTTTTTGGAGGCAGCTATTAGAGTATACGCTGCAGCAAAATGAGGGATGAAAATAATCAAGAGGAAGATATGGAATCTAATTGGTTAGATTAGATGCTATGCTTAATAAATGTTGGCTGTGATGATTACTAGTTTTATAAAGATCATACAATGTAGAGTCTGGGAGGGCTGAGTTGGAATCTCTGCTTTTCCACTTACTGGCTGTGAGATCTCACCCCATTGTTTACCTTTCTGATCCTACCTTCTCATCCATAAAATGGGAATAATAAAACCTACCTTACTGAGCTTCTGTGAAGGTTAAACAAGGCACACAGCACTTCCAGTTTATGAAGAGGTGAGCCGTCTTACAAGCATTATAAAAAATAGAACATGATGTGTGTGCAGAGAATGAGGGTAACTCTTTGATTCTTCGTATTTAAATGTATTGTCCATATTTCTAATGATTGACATGTGTTATTTTTTATTAGTGTTTTTTTCCAACCAAAGTAATACATGAGTCATGCAAAGTTAGAAAGTAAAATAGGCTTGTAAGAAAAACGTCAGTCCGTCCCCAACGTCACCACCCCCAGCCCTGATCCCCAGAGACAATCACTTCTAACTCTTCAGTGCTGTTTTCTTCTGTCATTCATCTGCTATTTCTAGACAATATGCTTACATTGCCGTATATTGATATATTAGTGTTAAGATGTTATCAATTGACATATTGTTAGGTAGTAGATGGGAATTTATCTGTCTTTCACTAATAATCCACTTCAAGCACTTACTGTGCCTCCATTCTCTCATTACATTAGGTCACAATTCTCAGGTGAGATCATCTGCGATGGTTACATTGTTGTGACTAAGTAAATATTGTTCATGTTGAGGCAAGTTGTACGCTGTGATTGTTTGCTTTTGTCTGCATTTTTGTTTCTCCTGGAGTTAATATTGCCTCTTTTTTTTTTTTTTTTGCATTAGCTCATTTTTTTAAACTTGTTCCCTTCTGACTCCCAGATCTGTCCTTTGCCAAACAATATTATTTCCTAAATTTTCAAATATATCAGAAAACCATTCAGTGTTTTTCCCCTGGCAACCTCTTGCCGGTGGACCCACCCCAATCCTGCTGTAATCTTGGCGGGCTGCTCCTTCCTGCTTAACTTCCATCTGGGACTTTCCTTGCTGCTCTCTCCAGGTAGGTTCCTTGCATTCTGAGCTCCATACCTTCCTCTTTTTTGCTTTACTCCCTCATTTCACTGGAGCTTATCCTCTAGTAGCTGCCTAAGAAAAGGTATGTAGGAGATAAATATTTGGAGTTCTTGCCTTTCTGAAAATCATTTTATTCTATTTTCACATGTAGTACTTTGGATGGGTTCAGGATTCTAGGTTAAAAAGTATTTTCTGTCAAAAAATGTAAAGGCCTCACCCCACTGTCTCCCAGCTTCCAGTATTGCTTATTAAATGGAAACACTTGTTTCCATTCCTGTGCATGTCACCTGACATTTTCCCTCTGCAAGCTTCTAGTGTCTTCTCTAATTTGCTGGTGGCCCGAAATCTCACAATGATGTGCTCTGAGAAGGTTCTTTTCCACTTATTGTACTAAGCATTCAAAGGGTCCTTTAAATCTAAAGACTCATGTTCTTAAACTCAGAGAATTCTCTAAAATTATTTCTCTGATCATTTCATCCCCTAATTTATATTACATCCCCCAAAAGATATTCAAGGAAGAAAATACAATCTCTAAAATCTCCTTTTAGGGTTTCTATTTATTGGATATTAAATCTTCCAAAGTGATCATTTTTACCCCTTTGTCTTGTTCCTCCTCTTTAACTTTTTATTTAACTTTTTGGGCAATTTCCTCAACTTTATCTTCCAAATCTTCTACTGATTTTAAATTCCTGCTGCCTTATTTTTAATTGCCAAGACCTCCTTCTTGTTCTTTGGTTCTTGCCCTCATAGCACCCGCTGCCAACTGCTGTCTAGACACAATGTCTTAGCTCACCCCCCAGTGGATCTTAATTACCTGGCTGCATTTTTTAAGTTTTCTCTTACTCTGTGCATTGTCTGCTTGCCCCGGGTTCCTTGTATTATTGTCCCTTTCCATCTCTGCCTTTCACATGGAGCCTTTCCTCAAACATCAAGTGATCTTTGGTTCTCTGTTCTTCAATGGGAGGCAACAAAAACCAGGGTTCTGTTTGTCATCGAAGGGGCCCCACTCCAGGCAAGTGGGCACTGCCCGTGCCCGAGTAACACCAGGGATACGGCATTTACCACCCACAAGCAAGGGATTCCTCTTTTGAGAAGCGATAGTTGTTCTTTTTAACCTTGAGCTCAGTTTTCATTATATCTTAAGTTTATATGTTAAAGTGACATTTCAGGGAGCTTTTGTGGGCACACTTTCTGGTTACAGCCCTTTAAAAAAGTAAACTTTTTGTAAAAAGCAGTTCTAGGTGTCATAATTAAGGGAAAGCCAGAGAACCTTGGGTCCAAATCCTTCCTTTGATGCTAGTTATGTGACCTTGAACTTCTCCAAGCTTTTACCTTCTTGGTTGTAAGACAGTGATGATGATGATGATGACAGATGATACCACCACCTACCTCAAAGAGTTCTTGAGGTTTACGTGTAACAAAGTGTAACAAAGTGCCTGGTGCACCGTGGACAGTCTCTCAGCCTGGCAGGTGACGTTTGGTCAGGTGAATGTGGGACACATCAGCCAGTATCTCTAGTGATCATGAGATTGACTTTTCAATCCTGGAAATCTTCCCTGGCCTGAGGACCAAGTTCTTGAATGCTATAATCAAAATTCTAAGGGCAGACAGAGTTCAGCCTTATTATTGGTTGTCTTGTGCCTCAGTTTCCCAGCCTGTGTTGACGTGGTGGGAAGGCAGAACAGCACGGCTAGCAAGGCAGACCTGTTCTCCCTTTCTTGCAATTAAAACCTTTCTTACAATCTTTTTAAAAGGCTTTGTTTCTGATGATAAAAGAAACACATGTTCTCTTTTTTTTAAAATGCAAATGCAGAAAGTCTAGCTTCCCTTTTTGTTTGATCATGGGCGCATGCACCTCTCTGCTGCTCTTCTCGGGGGCCCTTGGCTCTGCAGACCACCTCCGCCCCAGCCCCGGGCAGTTGTGCGGCTGCCCCTGTCCCAGCCACAGAGCGGGGAGGCCATGAGGACACCAAGGAGACGGTGTCCTCCAGAGACATGCGTCATGCCACCTCCCCGGGGCCGAGGCCCTCTGACAGCTCGCTTCAACCTGAGCTGACGCCAGACAAGAGCAGCTTTGTCAGCCCTGTGAGATCTAATGTCACCTGTGATTAGTCCTCAAAGCCAAAACCAAGCAAGTGCCTGATTAAACAGTGGCGTCCCAGGGTCCCCGTCACTCCTGAGTGGAGCTGTCCTGCTGCAACAGCCTGGGGCTTCCCCACAGGGCTCCGAGCCCCGTCCTCCTCACCGTCCCAGCGTCTGAACACTGCCTTTCCCTCTGCCCTTCCCCGAAAAACCCACACTCAGCTGGGCTCCTGGAGCGGCTAAGCAGGGCACTGACAATGGGCCTTGTCACCATAAGGAATGTCACCCTTGGGAAATTACAGCGTGGGCTTGCCATGGCCCGTGCCTGCCTAAACCATGGCAAGCTGGAGGCTGAAAACATAATTCACAGTGCAGGGAACTCTTCTGGGCTCAGGAACAGGGTTTGCTGCTTTTGACCTCATGAATTAGGAGCTGATAAGAGCATCTCCACTCTGCAGGTCCTCGTCCCAGAGCCCTGTGAAGACCCCCAAGGCTCCCATCTGCCCTTCTCCCCATTCCCAGGGTCTCAGGACCTGCGGTCAGCGCCCTTCTGCGTGTCCACACACTGGGTGGCCAGAAGGCCTCCTCCCTCAGCAGCCCCCGGCGCACTCCACCCCATCAACCTCACCTGGGGTGGCATGCACCCCGGGCCTTCCCGGCTTTTTCTTCCAAAGCAGAGCGTCCCTTCGATACTTGAGCGGGCCCCCTCTCTCCGACCTCTGCCCCTGCTCCAAGGCTGATTTTCACTTTCTTTGCAGATCCTGGCCATCCCCACTCTGGATCCAGCGGGAGCCTGGCTCGACGGAAGACAAGATCCAGCCCGAAGGTGTAGAAGTCAGACCCAATGACAGGATAGCAGCGCCCGTGCCCGCGCCCGCGCCCTGTGCACCTGCTCCATGCCAGGTACTGTGCATATGGTAGCCTGCTGCGTGACGAAATAGCAGGCGAGGGTCACCTGGGACGTGACAGGGGCTGGGAGGGGAGGAAGGGCAGGAAGCAGGCTCTGACGCCAGCTGGAGCGTGGTGGACGGAGAAGTGGCTGGCGGGCCTGGGAGGCAACTGTGAGGAGACCGTGGGGCTGCCAGGAGGAAAATCATGCAGGGCCTGAATGTCAAAATCCAGATGTTGAGCTTCACTGTAAGAGCGAGAGGCAGCCACACCATAGGTGTCTTGGATGCATGAGCAAGGGACGTGAGCCTAGCCGCTGTCACAGACTTTGTCCTTGGGTGGGTAACGTGTCCTGTGCTTCCCAAGTAAAGGTGAGCAACACAGCCGGGGGGCCCTGAGCTTGCTTTTCGGCTGTTTGTGGAGAGACTGGTGTCATCTAGGATTTGGCTCAGACTGGAAGCTAAGCCCTGCCGCGGGCTGGGTCAGAGCTGCCGCAGCTCTGGCCAAGACCAAGGGGTAGGCACAGACCCTCCGGCCCGGGGGGCTGTTAAAATGCAGAGCCTCCGCGTCTCACAGTGCATTTATGGGCAAATTGCTTTCATAGAAACTGCCCAGAGCTTGACACGAGCCGCTGGGCTCGTCCCGGGTGATGAAGCTGCATCAGGCTGAGTTATAGTGAAGTGTTTGGAAAGGAAAATACATTTCAAATTGTGTCTGAGACATTCTGTTCCTTTTGAGGCTGGCTACGCTCCCCATAGTTTTTACCCATGAAATATTTCGTACATATAAAAATATATATAGCTAACGTGTATCGCTGAGACAGAGAACAGCAACGGGGACACTCGTGTGCCCGGTTGAAGCAGTGTCACCTGGGCACCCTTCCAAGGTCACATCTCCCTGGCTGCCCCTCCCCAGGGGAGCCACCATCCTGATTTGTATCAGTTCCTTGCTTGCCAGGATAGGTTTGCTGTATATCCCTAACAGCACAGTTTCATTTTGTATGTTTTCTAAATTTATGTAGACATTTTCATCTCGTATGCCTTCTGTGACTTGCTTTTTCACTCAGCACCTTGTTCCCGAGGTCCATCCCTGCTGACGCACATGGCTGTGTTTCTTCGCGCTCTCGCTGCCGTAGAGTGTGCCATTGCTGAATTTTCCAGGTTTTCCACCCACTCTATCGCGTAGGGTACTTGTGTGCTCTCCAGGTTCTTGGATACATGATGCCGATGTTGAACATCCTTGCACAGGTCTCCTGGCGCACGTGGGTAGATTTTTCAAGGGATTATACCCATGGTTGTGTGGTGTGTGTGTTCAACCCCACTAGGTACAGCCAACTTGTTTTGCAATCCTCAAGGTTTTCCAACCGCTAACAGGTGTCTGTAGGTGCGCCCCTGCAGGGGAAGAGGTGCACCATCAATCTCGCTCTTTGCCGCTCCAGGTGGGAACAGATGGGCCCAGATCTTCACTCCTCACAGCTTGGGTTCTTCGCTACATGAACTCTAATCCTTCACTCGGCTGCTTTATTTTACCTCTTCCTCTGCTCAAAACGCTACCTGCTCTCTGATGAGGGGGTTTTGGGGGAGCCTTCATTCCAGGAGATCTGGGCGGGAATCCCAGTTAGACTTGCTGTGCACCCCTGAGCAGGTGCATAGGCTCTCTGTTTCTTGGGTTCCTTGTCTACAAAACAGGGATGAGCATATCCACCTCTCAGGGCAGCTGTGATAATTATATGAGATGATTTCTAGAAAGGGTGGGACACAGTGCCTGGCACACTGGGCCACCCAGGCAAGAACATGTCCCGTCCCACCAGCCACATGTGCTGCCGCCCCCTGCAGGCCTCCTTGTGCGCTACAGTGGCTTGGGTGGGCACCTCGCAGTGCAGGGACCACGTCCTGGCACAGGGCTTACAGGGGGCAGATGCTCAAGTCGGCTGAGGATGAGGAGGCCCTCTCACCTGGGCACATAGGAACTGGCCGGCTTCCCCAAGTTCTACTTGACTGCTGGTTGCCAAGTGGTTTTGCTGCATGGGGCTGTTACTGATGGGACAGGTTCCAACGAAATCGAGGGTCTGTGATTTCATTGCACCTGAGCTAGGAGGGTCATTTGCTGCTTGGTGGCTGCACTGGCCACCCCAGGCCCGAGAGGGAGCGGTTCTGTGGCACCGAGCCCTCTCGGAACTAGGGGTTCACACATGCCAACTACAACCTCCTTATCCATAGAGGCAGGTGAGAAATGCTTCTCAGTCCATCCAAACCTGCCTGTCTTCCTGCCTGAGCTGCCATGTAGCCAGTTCTGAGGCACGAGCCTTCTGACTCCCCAAAAGGTAGAAGCATCTCCACCCCTGACTTTGGATTCTACCGTGCTGGGCAAGTCTTTGCACAAAGCAGACACACTTTCCAGTTAGGAGGCCTTGGCTGCAGATCACAGTACACCCAACTTCACACGGCTTAGGGCAAAGGGCAGTTAGTACCTTACAGGTGAAAGAGTCTGGAGGTGGGAGGGGTCCAGAGTTGGTTAGAGCAGTGTCCAGCAGGTGACATCAAGGATCCAGGGTCTTTCCATCTCTCAGCCTTGCCACCCTGAGGGTGTGTCCTCACGTCACTGGCTGGGTGCAGTGACACAGAGCGTCACACACACCTTCACACACCAGTGCCCATAAGCTCAATGTCGGAGTCTCCCTCCTTTGTGCTCCTGTTAAAGACCAAGGAAAACCACCAGAATCGCCCCCAGTGCGTTTTCCTGCAGGCTGCACAAGCCAAAATCACTTCGTGTGCTTCCTCCTAAACCACCAGTAGAGGCCAAATGAGATCCACCCCTTGCAGCTCAGATGTCTGGCCTCCCGGAAGCATGAGGCTCCCCGATTCCTGGAAAAAAAATTGGGATTCTGTTAGCAGAAAGAGGAGGAGGGTGGTGTGGAGAGACACTGGCAGTGTCTGCCACCTGCTCCATAAATAATTTGTTGAATCAAATTCGTAGGATGTCAACTCCTTGAGAATAATAAAAGCAAGTACATTTTCTTTTCTGAATGAAAATGATCGTGCTGACACATTGTCAGAAGGAGCCATCGCCGTGGGCATATTTATGTTGCACTGGATGTAAACCCTCACCGATGACCCAGGTAGCCAGTGACACATGCTGGCAAAACGGCTCATAGAAATTAAGACTTAGGCCTCTGAAGCAAAGTTGTTATCGTCTATGCAAACTTCACTGGACTGAATGGGGACCTAAATCCTTGTTTTTAATTGCTTTAAATCTGGTTGTTGCTCATAGCAGCAAATAGATATTTTCACTCAAGTTTCTTCGGTTGCACGGGAAAAAATTCCACTTAAAATAGCTGAAATTAGTGGGGAGGTTACTGAAGGCCTACAAGGGCCAGAAACCACATGTGGCCAAGGCTCATGGGGACAGAGACTGACTTCTGCACCATGAGAGGTGACCCCACCACCCTTCTCACAGAGCCCCGTGGTCTCTGTGGCATTGCTTGGCAGGTAGCTTCTTCTTTGTGCTTGTTCCTTCTCTGCCCCCACAGCCTTGACCTGCCTGTGTCTCTCTTCACCTGGCTCAGTTCCAGCCTCCGGGGCTGCCCTGATGCCACCTTCCAGCTCAATTCCCCACAGCAAATTTGCCCGTCCCACTGCCCAGGAAATTTCCGAATCCAGGAATTTGAGTGTTACCACCCAGCTTGTCAATTGGTCCTCCTTGGAGCAGGACAGGTGGCCGTGGCCAGAGAGGTTATTTGATACTAGCAAGGTATCAGGGCTGTGGCCTTCAGAGAGGATGTGGTAGGAGGGCACTGGTGTGGCTGCTGCCCTAGACTAGGCTTTCATCTCTGTTAACTTTTCTTTTCTTTTTTTCAGAATATACAAGTAATGCATACATACATGCTTGTTGTAAATTACTGAAACAATGTTGGCCACTAACCCCCCAAACACACACACTCACATACACACATACATCTATACAATTATAGTCTTGCTTTGTGTTGGATTACATAAATGATTTCATATTGTATATATTCTGAAATTTACTTATTTTTAAACAGCGTATCTGGAGATGTTTTTGTGTCAATACATCCTTTTAAAATGCTATAGAGTATAGTACAAAAGGACCAGGAGTATCTGCTGATGGGCAATTAGATTGTTGCCATTTTTTCCTATTACAAAGAGTGCTAAGTGTTCAAGTGAAAAACTAAGGGAAAATTAAATATCTCATAATAGGGGAATGGGTAAATAGTGTATCCTTATAATGAAATAATATACAACAGTTAAAAGATTAATAAACCAATTAAAAAGCACAGATTATGAAATTGGATTTTAAAAAAAAAACAAGATCCACCTATCTACTGTCTACAGTATATACATATGAAGAGGTTGAAAGTAAAAGGACAGAAAAATATATCATGTTAACAACAATCATCAGAGACCTGGAGTGGCTACATTAATATCAGACCAAGTTGACTTTATAACAAAAATATTACTAGAGATAAAGAACATTTCCTAATGATAAAGGGGTCAATCCACCAGCAAAATATAATAGTTATAAACATATATTCACCGAACAGATCCCCAAATACATGAAACAAAGACAGAATTGGGGGGAGAAATGCCCAATTCAACTTTAGTACACTACTTTCTATAATGAATAGAACGGCTGGGCAGAAGATCCAGAAATAGTAGACTTGAACAAGACTATAAATAAACTAGACCTAACAGACAACACAACTGTGTTACTATGCTCTTCCAACTGCAGCAGAATAATACATTTTTCTCAAGCACACACCTGAAACATTCCCTAGGACGGATTGTATACTATGCTATAAAATAACCCTCAAGAAGTTTGAAATGATTATGATGATACAAAGTATATTTTCCACACAATGTAATGAAACATCAATAACAGAAAGAAATTTGGGGAATTCACAAATACAGGGAAATTAAACAGCATACTCCTAAATAACCAATGAATCAAGAAAAAATTGACAAGGAAATTTTAAAAATCACAAGGGAATTAGAAATTAGAAAATATGTTTCTGAAAACATAACATACCCAAACTTATAGGATACATCTAAAGCAGTGCTCAGAGGAAAAATCATAGCTATAATCACTTGTCTTAACAAAGAAGAAAGGGCCGGGCTCAGTGGCTCACACCTATAATCGCAGCATTTTGAGAGGCCGACGTGGGAGGATCATATAAGGCCAGGAGTTCCAGACCAGCCTGGGCAACATAGCAAGACTCCATCTCTACAAAAACAATTTTTTGAATTAGTTGGGTATGGTGGCATATGCCTGCAGTTCCAGCTACTTGGGAGGCTGAGGCAGAAGGATCACTTGAGCCCAGGAATTCACAGTTACAGTAAGCTATGATCACACCACTACACTCTCGCCTGGGTAACAAAGAAAGGAAGATCTCAAATAAATAACCTAACCTTCCACCTTTCAAAAATAGAAAAAGAAGAGGAGCTAACTAAATCCAAAGCAAGGAAAGAAAAGGAAATAATAAAGACTAGGGCAGAAATAAATATACAGAAAATCAATGAAACCAAAAGTTGGTTCTTGGAAATATTAACAAAATTGACAAACCTATAGCTGGACTAACTAAGGCAAAAAAGAGAGAAGATTCAAATTACTGGAATCAGAAATAAATGAAGGACACTATAAATGACCTTACAGAGATAAAAAGGATTATGAAAGTAACTATGAGCAATTGCTGCCAATAAATTAGATAACTTAGATAAAAATGGACAAATTCCTAGAAAGACACAAACTTCTGAAACTGAGTCAAGGAAAACAGAAAATATAAATAGATCTATAATAACAAAGGAGACTGAATTTATAAAAAGAAAATAGTAACTCACAAATAGCCTATGCCTGGATATCTTCACTTATAAGTCCTACTCAACAAAAGAAAAATTAATACCAATTCTTTAAAAACTCTTCCAAAAAGTAGATGAGAAAGGAACACATCCTAACTCATTTCATGAGGCCAATATTACACTGATATCAAAACCAGACAATGACCTCACAGAACAAGAAAACTATAGGCCAATATGTGTTAGGAATATAGATGAAAAAAAACCCCAGCAATTGAATCCAGAAACATATAAAAATAATTACACATCATGACTAAGTGGGATTTATGCCAGGAATACAAAGTTTGTTTAACATCCGAAAATCAGACAGTGTGATACATCATATCAATAAAATAAAAACCACATGACAATTTCAGTAGACACAGAAAAATCAAGCAGATTTTCATGACAAAAACATTCAACAAACCACAAATGTAAGGAAACATCCTCAACCTGATGAAAATAAAACATCTGGTTACATAACAAAAACAAAGGCCGGGTCCGGTGGCTCACGCCTGCAATCCTAGCACTATGGGAAGCTGAGGCAGGTGGATCGCTCAAGGTCAGGAGTTCGAAACCAGCCTGAGCAAGAGCAAGACACCGTCTCTACTAAAAAGAGAAAGAAATTAGTTGGCCGACTGAAAATATATAGAAAAAATTAGCCAGGCATGGTGGTGCATGCCTGTAATCCTAGCTCTTTGGGAGGCTGAGGCAGAAGGATTGCTTGAGCCCAGGAATTTGAGGTTGCTGTGAGCTAGGCTGATGCCACGGCACTCTAGCCTGGGCAACAGAGTGACACTCTGTCTCAAGAAAAAAAAAAAAAACAAATATCTACACCTAATGTCATACTTCATAATGAAAGACTGGGTGCTCTCCCCCTAAGATCAGGAGCAAATAAGGATGTCTGCTCTCACAACTTCTATCTAACATTGTGCTGGAGGCTCTAGCCATGGCAATTAGGCAAGAAAGAAAAAGAAAAGGCATATAGATTAGAAAGATAGAAGTAAAACTATCTATATTTGCAGATGACATGATCTTACATGTAGGATATCATAAGGCAACTACTAACAAAGTATTAGAACTAATAATGATTTCAGCAAGATTGCAAAATATAAGATCAATATACAAAATCAATTGTATATCTATAGACCAGCAATGAATATTCCACAAATGAAATTAAGAAAACAGCTCTTATTTACAATGTCATCAAAAGTACCAAAATACTTACAAATAGATTTAACAAAAGAAGTATAAGACTTGTGCACAGAGAACTATAAAACATTGCTGAAAGAAATTAAGATTTAAATAAACAAAAAGACACACTATGTTCATGGATCAAAAAACTTAATATTATTACACAGCAATACTCCCCAAATTGATTGACGTATTCAGTGGATTCACTATCAAAATACCAGCTCCCTTTTTTGCAGAAATTGACAAACTAATCCTAAAATTCATATGGAATTGTAAGGGGTACCTAATAGAGGCCAAAACAATCTTGAAAAAGAATAAGGTTGGAGGACTCATACTTCATAATTAGGAAACATACTACAAATCTACAGTAATCAAGACAATATGGTACTGGAATAAGACATATAGATCAATGGAATAGAATTGCTAGTACAGAAACAAACATTTACATTTATGGTGGGTTGATTTTCCATAAGGGTGCCAAGAGCATTCATTCAGGAAAGAACAGTCTTTTCACCCACTGTTCTAGGACAACTGGATACCCACACATAAAATAATGCAGTTGGACCCTTACCTCACACCATACACAAAAATTAACTCCAAATGGATCATAGGCTTCAGTGTAAGAGCTAAAATATAAAACTCTAAGAAAAAAACAGTAGTATGTCTTCAGCACCTTGAGTTTTTCAGATACATGCCAAAAGCACATGTGAAAAAAGAAAAAAGAAATAAATTAGACATCAAAATTTAAAACTTTTGTACTATAAACAATGCCTTTAAGAAATTGAAAAAACAACTATCAAATGGGAGAAAATAATTGTAAGTCATGCATCTGTTAAGGGACTTGCATCCAGAATACATAACAAACTCCTACAACTCAATAATAAAATGGCAAACAATCCAATTTTAAAATGGATGAAGGATTTAAATAGATATTTCTCAATACAAATGGTCAATAGGCACATGAAAAGATGTTTGTTAGTCTTTAGGAAAATGCAAATCAAAGCCACAATGAGATACCACTTCACATCCAGTAGAATAGCTATAATAAAAAGGCAGACAATACCAAGTGTTAACAAGAATGGGGAGAAATTAAGACCCTCATGCATTGCTAGTGGAAATGTAAAATAATGCATCTCTTTGGAAAATAGTATGGCAGGTCCTCAAAATGTCAAACATAGAGTTACCATATGGCCCACCAGTTCCACTCCTGTGTATCTACCCAAGTGAAATAAAAACATACATTCACACAAAAACTCGTACATGAACGTTCATAGCAGCATTATTTAGAGTAGACAAAAGGTAGAAACAACTCAAATGTCTGTCCATCAACGGGTGAATGGATAAACAAAACATGGTCTATCCATACAATGAAAAATTACCTGGCAAGTTGAAATAAATGAAGTAGTGATATATGCTACAACATGGATGAACCTTGAAAGCATTACCCTGAGTGAAAGAAGCCAGTCACAAAAGCCCATCCGTTGTATGAAATGTCCAGAAAAGGCAAATCTATAGAGATAGAAAGTAGATTAGTGGTTGCCTAAGGGCTGAAGGCAGGCATTGGAGGGATATTGGGAGTGACTAATACAGGGTATAGGGTTTCTGTTTGAAATGATGAAAATGTTTTAAAATTAACTGTGGTAATGGTTGTACAACTCTGTGAATATACCGAAACCATTGAATTATACACTTTTAAAAAGGTGAATTGTATGGTATGTGAATTATATCTCAACAAAGCTGCTAATTTTTAAAAGAAAGAAATGAAGTATTGACACATGCTTCAACCTGGATGAACCTTGGAAACATTAAACTAAGTAAAAGATGCTAGTGACAAAAGACCCCACAAATCTGCGGACAGAAAATAAATCTGTGGTTGCTAATGAGAGAGATGGTAGGAGTAGGTCAAGAGTGACTAATTGCCAGGCGTAGTGGCTAACACCCGTAATCCTAGCACTTTGGAAGCCTGAGGGAGGAGGATCACTTCAAGTTCTAGACCAGCCTGGGCAATAGCGAGAGCCCATCTCTAAAAAACTAAAAATTAGCTGGGCATGGTAGCACATGCCTACAGCCCCAGCTACTTGGGAGGCTGAGGCAGGAGGATCGCTTGAACACAGGAGTTCAAGATTGCAGTGAGCTACAATTACACCACTGCACTCTAACCCTGGCAACAGAGTGAGACCCTGTCTAAAAAAATAAAGAATACTAATGGGAATGGGGTTTCTTTTAGTGAGGACAGAAATATTCTAAAATATTAAACTGTGATGATTGCACACCTCACAAGTATATTTAAAAAACATTGAATTGTCTGCTTTAAGTCAGCAATTATATGCTGTGTGAATTATATCTCATTAAAGCTGTTTTTTAAAATGAATGAATTAGATCTATATGTATCCAACAGGAAAGATCACAAAAAATGTGGAGGGGAAAAGGCACATTGAGAAAGGAAACCTACAGTATAACACCATTTATGTGAAATTTTAAAACAAAAAAACAATAGTATCATTATATATTGTTTTGGGAGCGAAACATTCTTAGTAAGACATAAAAACTCAGATGGAAAAGGTATACTCCAACTGCAGGATTTTCCCTCTCTCCCCTATAAATAATCTTTTAAATGTTTTATGGCTTTACCTTCCATTGTTTATGTTTAGTATATAAGGAAATATATATTTTTTATATTCATATCCCCTTCCTTTCTTAGATAAAAGGTAGAATGCCATATATACTTTTCTCTTCAGTACTTTTTTTTTTTAACTTAACAATATATTCTAGAGATCACTCCAAAGGAGTTTATAGAGCTGTTCCTCTGAGGCTCTTTTATTAAGCTTGTTGGGGTTTATGTCTAAAAGGAGGAGGGCCAGAGATGGATGACTACATGGAGACGCTGAAGGATGAGGAGGACGCCTTGTGGGAGAATGTGGAGTGCAACCGGCACATGCTGAGTCGCTACATCAACCCCGCCAAGCTCACCCCCTACCTGCGCCAGTGCAAGGTCATTGACGAGCAAGATGAAGACGAAGTGCTCAATGCTCCCATGCTGCCATCCAAGATCAACCGGGCAGGTAACCTTAGAAGTGCTTTTTTGGGGAAGAGGGTGGGCAGCTTCAGGACATACCCCTCCTTAGCTGTACCAAAATGAGGTTCTTCTAGGTCAGGGAGTTTTAAACTGGGGTCCATAGACCACCATCCACCCTTGTCCCCCCAACCAAGCTGCCTGTGTGTAGAGCTTAGAGGATCCATGAACTTGAGAGAGGGGGAGAGAATCACATCTTTATTTTACAGCCTAAACTGAAATTAGCATTGCTTTCAATTAACAATGTCAGTAGGCAACAAATTACAGTAGTGATTAGTAATTCCTGTGATTTAGTCAACAATAAAAATTACAGATATCTTCATATCACATTACAGCTGTTGCAGATCTCTCAAAATACCATTTACACTCATCTCTCTTTTGAAATTACAGTACTTATTAGACCTGCCAAGAGATCTTGTTATTTAATGTATTAATAAAGAAGTACATTTATTACTGAATCACAAATTTGTTTAATATTTGATAACTGTATTTTATTATAATTGGTTTCGTTTGTAATCTGATGTATTTTATCTGTTTAAAAATATTCTGAGAAGGGGTCCTTAGGCTTTTCCAGCCTGACTTGGGGCCTATGGCAGTTTATCAGATTCGGTAAAGATAATAGGTATAGTTTCTGAAACTTGTTTTAGTTTTATATATGTACATGTATATACACATATATATGTTTATAGACTTTATATATGGACACTATAACACAATGTAAACTGTATTTCTTTCTGTGGGTAACAGTTTAAAAGGTTTGAGAATCACTGTCCCCCAGCTTGGCTGGTGGTGAGTAGCTTCTAAACTGTGACTCAATGGCAGACACCACTAATCAAACACAGCATGGGTTCCCACTGAGTTTGTGTGTAACTTTAGAATCCTTCTCAAAACAGTGCTCCAAGCAGCTTCACCAAACAATTAGAGTTGACATAACATAAAACTTATTTATTATGTCTGTCCTACAGAAAAAGGTTGAGTTTTAGGACCTCAAGTAAAGATGTATCTGAAAATAAAATGCTTAAGGAAAGGCCAAGAAACATAAGCAATAAGTGGAACCAGTAGTATAGACATTGGAAACTGCTGGGGAAATTACATTTAGGTTAATGATGTTTCCATACTCTAATAATCCCAAAGAAGAACATAGAGCTATGCCTGCTTCCCATGACTTTTTCTAGCTCCCGAACCAAATATTTGCCTTCCTGCTCTGAATCCCAGAGCACCACATTTTATCCCATAACTGTTATTTCGATTCTAGCCTCCTTCATTCACAGAAGAGATGATGCCTGTATGGTTCATTTTAGCCTTGGTCAATTGGGAAGCTCTTTAAAACTGTTGGTTTCCTGCAGCTGCGAGTCCATTTATCCTGGTTCTACCAATTTATTATAGAAAGGAAATGAACATTCACTGAACCCCTGCTCAGTACCTGGCACCTTGATTTATTATAATAATACATTTTGTGGACTTCAGGATACAACTTAGGAGTGACAGAATGTGGCGACATTGTCTTCTTAGAGTTTATTGAGGGATTTAAGTTTAGGATAAGACCAGACATGGAGACTTGCTTCCATTCAGACATGCATTCCTCTCACATGGTCTCTCCCCTAGGCCGATTGTTGGACATCCTACATACCAAAGGGCAAAGGGGCTATGTGGTCTTCTTGGAGAGCCTGGAATTTTACTACCCAGAACTGTACAAGCTGGTGACTGGGAAGGAGCCTACCCGGAGGTTCTCTACTATTGTGGGTAAGTGGCTTTGCCATCAGGAACATACGCACTCTAAGAGGAGATGGATGTGTGTGTCTGTGTCTGTGTGTGTGTTTGTGTGTGTCCTCAGTAGAGGGACAGTTCTAAATCTCTGAGCCTGTGACATGTAGGATTTGGGGACTGCCAACCACTTATTTTGCCTGATGATGAAAGGTAGGTGACAGAGGGACAAACTGAAGCAGGGGGTGAGAGAAATGGGTGTGCTGGGGTGGAACAAAAGTTTATTTTACCCTCTGGATCTTCTCCTTACTTTGGCTGCTCTCTGGCCAGTGTACCATGAGACAGAGCCTTTAGGCATCTTGTCTTCTTAATTTTCCTTCCTAAACAATATTGAGTCAGTTTTCTCTCCATCTCCACCACTACCCCCTACTCCAGACTCACACAAACCATGAACGCCCCACATCCACTCCTCATCTGTTCCAGTGTTTTCTCCATTCCTTCAATACCCTCCCGTTTGAAATCCTTCGGTGGTTTGCCATTGCTTCCATGTAAAGACCCTACATGGTCCAGCCCCTATTTTCTCTCTCTCCTACACACCCTGGTAGCTCCCTATACCTTTACATTGTGAAGTCCTCATAGTATGTAGTTACATTTGCGGGTGATCATTGATTTTGTTAATGTCTGTCTCTCTGTTACTACGCCATAAGCTCTACCGGGACCAAGGCCATTTCACTCACTCTGAATCCCCAATGCCTAACAGGTAGTAGGAGCTCAGTAAAACGCTAGTGAGTGAATGAGTGAACGAATGACACCTGCCCTGCGTCTGGAACCTCCTTTTTCCCCTTCCCAGTCCTCAGGCCTGACTGGGTGCCCCCTCTCCACAGTGGAGGAGGGCCACGAGGGCCTCACGCACTTCCTGATGAACGAGGTCATCAAGCTGCAGCAGCAGATGAAGGCCAAGGACCTGCAGCGGTGCGAGCTGCTGGCCAAGTCTCGGCAGCTGGAGGATGAGAAGAAGCAGCTGACGCTGACCCGGGTGGAGCTGCTGACCTTCCAGGAGCGGTACTACAAGATGAAGGAGGAGCGGGACAGCTACAACGACGAGCTGGTCAAGGTGAAGGATGACAACTACAACTTAGCCCTGCGCTACGCCCAGCTCAGTGAGGAAAAAAACATGGCGGTGATGAGGAGCCGCGATCTCCAACTCGAGGTGAGGGGCGCCCGGGGCTGCACGGCCAAGCTGAGCGAGGGGGAAACAGATGTCGCTGGGGCTAAAGACCCCTATACAGGCACGGGCAGACATGTACTCCCTAGCTGCCCAAGCTTAGTGCCCACCGGCTGAGTGGGAATGGAGGACACAGGGGTTCCGCCATGTGGCGCCTAGATCCACCATGCACATGCGTGTGTCCCCTGTAGCGCTTAGCGCCACAGGCTCAGCAGCCTCCATCTGCTGTGCGCATGTGCAGACAAGCTGACACGGACCCAGCCAGGCTTTCCAACGCTAGCTTGAAGCCCAGATCCATTCTGCGCTTGGTAGCGCGCGGGCAGACCCACGCGGGGGTGTTAGTGTGGCTAGCTCCACCAATGCGCATGTGCAGACATGCGCACGCAAGCCCTGCGTCAGGGGACATGGCGGCCCCCCGGGCCCGAACTGCGGCGTTTGGGAAAATTAGCGTGGAAATGGACGTAGCACCTGTTCCTTGGTTGCATGAACTTCTTGGGGCCAGGACTCTGATCTTCATCGTTGTATCCACAAAGCTCAGCATGGTGCCTGGCCCAGTGAGATAGTCGATACATCTGCCAGTGAAGGCCCCACCTACTAAATGATTGATGTCATTAATGAGTTTACTTCCAAACTGGATTTGCTTCATCCATGCTTTCTTTCTATTTTTTGAGTGCCACCTTGCACCAGGCTCTTTTCCAGCGATACATAACTCAAGACTAAAGCCATGCTGTCACGGAGCTCACATTGTAATCAGAAAACAAATACATAAATGCCTGTTAGTAATAAGTGCTATCAAGAGAAGACAGAGTATGAGGACAGAGAACAAGGTGTGCTGTTTTAAATAGGGTGGTCAGGAAAGGTCTCTGAGAAGGAGACACATGAGCAGAGATCTGAAGAAAAGGCGGGAGCCAGCCACATAAGTCTCAAGAAGAAAGCACATGCAAAGGCCCCACGTAGGGAGCAGGGTTTATTTTTATTTTATTTTGAGGAATAGCAGGAGAGCCAGTGAGGCTGGAGTCAAATGCACAAATGGTACAAAAGGAGGTGGGAGAGATGGCCAGGGTCCAGATTATGGAGGCATGGTAAGAACTTTGGAATTTATTCTAGTCATAATGGGAAGCCACTGAAGGATTGAAAGCTGAGGAGTGGCAATTGATTTATATCATAGAAGGATCACTCTGGCTGCTGGGTGGAAAATAAACTCTCAGAATATTTATTAAGCACCTGCCATGTGTAAGGCACTGTGCTAAGCGCTGTGGGAGACACAGGGATAAATAACCTGAGCTCTGCTCAGGTCACTTACAATTTAGTGAAGCAGACAGATCAGTAAACAATCCCCTAGAATTCAGGCAAATTGAGTCAGTGGTATAGCAGGCAATGGAGTGTTTCCATTAAGAGCATGAGCTTTTAAGTCCGATAGTTTTGAGTTCAAATTCTGACGTCTATCTTTACTACTTACTTAGCTATTGGCCTCAATTTCCTCATTTGTAAATGGCAATAATGAAAATAATATCTCTGCCCTAGGATTGCTGAGATACTGAACCATAAGTCTTTGGAAGAGTGGCTGACCCAGTAAGCACCCCACATTGGTAGAACCCCATGCCCCCTTGTGTGGAACTCAGGATCTGGACCTAGCACAAGATGCGTGTGTTGATCTTTGAAGATGCTGAGAGTTTCTTCTTTCTTTCTTGTGTGTGTGTGTATGTGTATGTGCCCGTGCGCCCAGGAAGAGAGAGATCTGTGCTATTTTACCTAGGATTTGGAAAAGTTAACCTGTGGCAGGGACTTATAAATTTCCTAGAACTTCCTCGTGTATTACATCTCCCAGGAGATATGTTATTAGTGAGAAAGCATGTAGAACTTAGAAGAACATCTGGCCAATGGAGTCCCTGGGCCATGTCTCAGCCCCAGGCGGCTTCCCTGCGTGCCCCTTCCTTCATTATCTCAGGCCATTGGGGTGCAGCAGTACTTTCCTTGCTAAAGTCACCACCCTCTAACTGTCAGATTTTTGAGACTGTTCTTCCCACAAGCCTAGATTTGAAAGATGACACCTTCCCCTTTGGTGCCTCCTTGCAGCCCTGAGCACAGCCTTCATGTTGGGGGTATTTTACCAAAGCCAATTAGTTTGGAGAAGCAGACAGGCTTAGTCACAAAGGTTCAAAAAGTTTTCTGATAGTCCCAGTTCCTGATATTAAACTCAAGGGTGAAAATCAGCACACCTCCGCTTGTCCCATTTCCAAATGCAGTAGCTTCTTCCTCCCGGAACCCCCTCTTTCTGGCACTAAATCTGGGCAGGTCCTTTAGGCCAGAGATCCTGCAAACTTACAATCTGATGGGTTTCAGGCAGGCCTTTTTTTTTTTTTTTAGCAGCAGTGCCATTTGTTCAAATAAAATCTTATGTGAAGTCCAAGAGGACAAAGCATACAAACAGAGCTGCTCTGAGGGATAAAATTGAGTGGGGAGCCCCAAACCCTGACTTCTCCACCCTCTCTTCATTCCCTTCCATAACCCTGGGGTTCTTTGTGGAATCCTTGAGTTCTGAGGATCAGAATTCGAAACCCATTCAAAAAAGGGCAGTAGTATGGGTAGCATACCTTGATGAAACACCAGCTTGAGTGTCTTTTATCCTAATCTGTAACCTCTCCCACCCCATAAAAGTTACCCAAGGGAATTTTCTCTGAGATATATAGCCCCTTTAAAACTGTTCTAAACTGACTCATCAGGAACTCTCCATCAACAAGGAGATGGTGATTTGTTTCACTGGAGAAGGTTTCTGTGAGCCCTTCTCTGCCACCAACTGCAAGGAAGGAGGGGCACACGCAGGTTATGCTGGAAGTCCAGTGGGATCTGGGGACACATTGCCTTTTCCGAGTGTTTCTTGCCAGCTGCATTTTCCCCTGGGTACCCTTGGGGTGTTTCAGATCGATCAACTAAAGCACCGATTGAATAAGATGGAGGAGGAGTGTAAGCTGGAGAGAAACCAGTCGCTGAAACTGAAGAACGACATCGAGAATCGGCCCAAGAAGGAGCAGGTTCTGGAACTGGAGCGGGAGAATGAGATGCTGAAGACCAAAAACCAGGAGCTGCAGTCCATCATACAGGTGAGGGCCTGGGTGGGGCAGGATGGGGACAGGCAGGGGACAAACTTCCTGCTAGGGTGTCAGTCCCAGAGTCCTGCCCCGAACCTTGCTGACTGCAGGGCCACAGACATGCATGTCATCCCTGGGTTCCTTACTTTCCTCCTCTGTAAAGAGGTGACCACATCACCCACTTGTGGAGATATGGCATTCTGTGAGATAATATTTATGAATTTGAAGCCCTCTGTGAAAATCACCATGCACGTGGCAAACAATGCCCTGAGCACTGTGAGAAGACAAAAGTCCACCCAGGAAACCTATTTGCTCTTAGAGATTTCAAGAAACTCGACTTTAAATCCTTGCCACTTGTTCAAACTTCAGGTGCCCCCACAGTTGTCATCAGAGAATCACTTGTCAGTGTGGGGGAGGAAGTTACCGAGGAGTAGCATCCCAGAACACATCTGCAGGGAGAGAAACAGAGTGCATCCCCTCCTTTCTCTAAAATTGTCCCCCTCCCACCCCACCCCCATCCCCTGGACTGGCTGCCTGGGTTTCGGATTCTGTTTCCGAGCAGAGGATGAATCCTGGTTTAATCGGAACAATTGAGTGATATTTCGGGGGGGGGGGGGGGGATCTCTGGAGCGCAGGTCAGCCCTCCCTTTGTTGTCACCTGTGCAGTGTTTGGGGAGCAGCAACTGCTTCTCTGGGCTCTGATAAGAGCCGGCAGAACAATAGGCTCGGCATATTCCTGAGCAGATGCTCCCGAGCGGAAGCGGGTTTTCTGCTTCTTTCCAGGTGATAAACTTCTTAAATGATAAGCTGCTTAGAGACCCCCAGAGACATCTCTTCTCGCCTCTGCCTTTCTGGCACAAAACCTTCTGCTGTGTCAGTGTCTGTTGCTGGCTCTTCTGTCCCCCGCCTTCCAGGGCCACCTTGCTCCCCACCCCTCACCCCGACACTGTCAAACCTCCCACCTGCCCGCCCAGGCCGGGAAGCGCAGCCTGCCAGACTCAGACAAGGCCATCCTGGACATCTTGGAGCACGACCGTAAGGAAGCCCTGGAGGACCGACAGGAGCTGGTCAACAAGATCTACAACCTGCAGGCGGAGGTCCGCCAGGCAGAGGAGCTGCGAGACAAGGTGGGAGTGGGGGACAGTGTCCCCAGCCAGTGCCCTCGAGCTGGCCCCTTTGCACCAGGGTGCACTGACTGATGTGTGTCAGCAGGAACTACTGACCCCACACTCCTTTCCAGGGACCGGTCTGACCCCTGGTATAAATTCCCTCTACTTCCCAGCATCTCGCTCCTTTCAGTTATGTGTGAGTCATCGTGTTAGCTCAGCACCTGTCCTCCCCTCCTGGCCAAAGGCCACAGGAGGGCCAGTGCCGTAACTACCCTGTCCTGTCCTCCCTACCTTACCTGGCACATACTACCGTGGTCCCCTGCACTCAGACAGCTGGCTCTCGGAGGGACAGGCCATGTCCTGACCATACCGGCTCAGGGAGGGAAGAGCCAGCTCCAGCCAGTGGGAAGGCATGACCAGAAAACAGCCGTGAGCCCTGACCTATCGATTGCCTAGTGCACGTATTGATTTCTCCGTGTCACTCACAGTACCTGGAGGAGAAGGAAGACCTGGAGCTCAAGTGCTCGACCCTGGGGAAGGACTGCGAGATGTACAAGCACCGCATGAACACGGTCATGCTGCAGCTGGAGGAGGTGGAGCACGAGCGGGACCAGGTAGGGACATCCCTGAGCACAGGGAGCCCAAAGTCGCACAGCAGGGCCTAGGCCCCAGGCCACAGGGCCTGTCAGTGTGTTTTGTCCAGTGTAAAGTCACTGACTATGCAGGGATTCCTCATGAATCTCTCTTTCCTATTTCTGTTCCAAAGATGAATTCCACTCTTAGAGCCTCTCAGAATTCATACCCCCTCAGGTATCACAGAGGTCTCAGCTGGGCTCTAGTGGCTTCCAAAACCAAGTGTGGTCCTTAAATGCATGATATCTCAAGTGAGAGAGACAGGTTCAGATCCCAGCCCCACCTTCATAAGGTGTGTGCCCGCAGGCTAGCTGTCACCACCTTGACACCTCAGTGCCCTCATCTGTAAAATGGGGATAATCACAGTATCGCTGGCTCGGAGCGTGGGCTCCTGGAGATGCTGTGTCACAGTTCTCAGCACAGTGCCTGGTGCGTCTCCGGGCTGGACAAACAGCTCTGTGATGGTATTGACGAAGGAGGCAGTGACTGAAACGCCCGAGAGTCAAGGTCAAGACAGAAGCCACGCCGATGTGGCTGTCCCCTGGCTGGGAGACCCTGGGTGTCCCCGGGCGTGATCTGAGTGGGTTGAGGTGATGCGCCAAGCAGCCCTCGCCCCGCTTCTCCCTGCAGGCCTTCCACTCCCGAGACGCAGCCCAGACGCAGTACTCGCAGTGCTTGATTGAAAAGGACAAGTACCGGAAGCAGATCCGCGAGCTGGAGGAGAAGAACGACGAGATGCGCATCGAGATGGTGCGGCGGGAAGCCTGCATCGTCAACCTGGAGAGCAAGCTCCGGCGCCTCTCCAAGGACAGCGGCTGCCTCGACCAGGTGGGCCGGGCTGGGCTGGGTCCCACTCGCTAAAGCTGGTACCCTCCCTGCACCAGTGGACAGCTGGCCAGGGTCACCACCTCCCCGTGCAATGGCTTTTCGTACGCTGGGAGCCAGAAGTACACCCTTCCCTCTCACACCCTGGACAATCCACGTCCTTTAACCCTCTGTACTTGTCTGTGTAGTGACACATAGGAGCCACTCATTTGCAAGTTAGGAGATGCAGGGTGAAGCCTGGCCTGGCCACTTCCTAGCTGGGCATCTTCTCCCATACGGGCTTCGGCACCCTTTCTGTTGACCACAGCCAGCCACTGACCCCCAGTGGAGCTTCCCCCACCTTCTGAACCATCGCTGGGTTTAAGCTACCCTGCTCTTGTTAGAGTTGCTGGTTCCCATGAACAAACTCTCCGTTATGGACAGTGTGAACTGCAGCGTGCACTTCTCAGCAGGGCCCAGGTGCTCAGAAATAAACGAATGGTGCCGTCACTCAGGCGCAGTGCAAAGTGCTTTCTGTGCATTGTCTCATTTAACACAGAGAACTGTCTTGCAAGGAAGGCATACACTATCCTTATTTATAAAGAAAGAGACCCAGATACATGTAGCTGGGGGGATTGCCAGGGGTCCCAGCTCCTCAGTGGCCTGGGGGTGCTGTGATAAAGCACACCCCTGCCCTCAGAGGACTCAGAGCCCAGCACTGGGAACACATGCAGCAGCATGACATTTCAATGCAATGCTGTAAACTCCAGGTTAAAGGGGCTCCAGGGAGCTCAGGGGAGGAGGTCTTCCTTCCCTCTGGGTTTCAGGAAGGACCCCCTGCAGCAGGCAGGGGGCTCTCAGTGGCCCCAGGACCTCTACCTGGATGCTCTTCTCCCAACCTCACCTGGCCAGGTCCACTCACCTTCTGCTCTTGGCTGATATGCCACTTCCCCTGGGAGACCTTGGCCCCCATCATGGGAACCAGGGCCCTCTGTGACATGAGTATGTGCCACAGTTTGTCATCATGCATGAGCTCCATGAAGGGCCCTCTGATTCCAACGCCCAGCATGGTGCCAAGCACAGGGTGGGCTCTTGGGGAGCACCTTCCAAATCCACACAGGAAGGCTGTGATGGCACCTGGTTAGGGGAGCTCTGATTCCATACCGCAAGGTTCATGCAGGAAAATAGGACAGAAAGCTTTGGGTTTGGAGGCAGCATAGCATGAGAGCATTGTGTGGCTTTGGGGGTCACACAGAAGCTCCTTAAGGCGCTTGCACCTCAGCTTCCTATTTTGTAAAAAGTGATTATTAAAAACTGTGTAGGCTGGGTGAGGTGGCTCAGACCTGTAATCCTAGCACTCTGGGAGGCTGAGGCGAACGGATCACTCAAGGTCAGGAGTTTGAAACCAGCCTGAGCAAGAGTAAGACCCCGCTCTACTAAAAATAGAAGAAATTAAGTGGCCAACTAAAAATATATAGAAAAAAATTAGCCGGGCATGGTGGTGCATGCCTGTAGTCCCAGCTACTCAGGAGGCTGAGGCAGAAGGATTGCTTGAGCCCAGGAGTTTGAGGTTACTGTGAGCTAGGCTGATGTCACAGCACTCTAGCCTGGGCAACAGAGTGAGACTCTGTCTCAAAAAAAAAAAAAAAAAAAAAAAACTGTGTGTACTTGTCAGGGAGGATTAAGTGAGATGATAGATGTGAAGCCCTCAGGATGGTACCTGGCACTGTTCTTTATCATTGTTCAGTCATTCAGCAATATCTGTAATATTTTTAGCTTAGGAACAGAGCTAGAAATTGGAAATATAGTGATGGCATCAGCTTTAAGTGACCAAGACCAGGTAGGAGGCGATGTCCTTCCTGTTGTTAAAGAAGACGAGAGCCTGGTCCAGGCCCCCGCAGGTGGGTGGGCGGCAAGGACAAGAGGCCTAGGAGGAGGCGGCCAGTCGGGCCGGAATGAGAGGCCTCAGGGACGGCGGGCTCAGAAAAGAGTGGCCGTCCTGAGTGTCAGGCTTGGGAGGCCTCACTATTTTGCCAACCAGTAGTAGCTGCCCATCAAGCTATGTCACCAGCGCCACCTTCCCTTTGTCCTCAGAGCCTGCCCAGGAACCTGCCCGTAACCATCATCTCACAGAGCTTCGGGGACGCCAGCCCCAGGACCAATGGCCAAGAAGCAGATGATTCTTCAACCTCGGAGGAGTCACCTGAAGACAGCAAGTACTTCCTGCCCTACCACCCGCCCCGGCGCAGGATGAACCTGAAGGGCATCCAGGTACTGGGCGTGGAGGGCAGGCGGCACAGGTGCCCGCGTCAGGCCCCTGGGCGGGAGGCACGGGGGAGCCAGCCCTACAGGCAGACGAGGGCGTGTCACGACCATGCCTGTTCTGGGCGGGGCTCGGGACTCAGATGTGGCTCCACCAGTTCCAGCCCTGTGAACAGAAATCACGCCACTTATGCTTTTTGCTTATTTATTTACTTTTGCTAAATCCCTCTCGAAGTTAAGAGAGAAAGAGAGGCCGGGTGCGATGGCTCATGCCTATAATCCTAGCACTCTGGGAGGCCGAGGTGGGCGGATTGCTCAAGGTCAGGAGTTTGAAACCAGCCTGAGCAAGAGGGAGACCCCGTCTCTACTATAAATAGAAAGAAATTAATTGGCCAACTAATATATAGAGAGAAAAATATTAGGCGGCATGGTGGTGCATGCCTGTAGTCCCAGCTACTGGGGAGGCTGAGGCAAGTAGGATCACTTGAGCCCAGGAGATTGAAGTTGCTGTGAGCTAGGCTGACACCACGGCACTCACTCTAGCCTGGGCAACAAAGTGAGACTCTGTCTCAAAAAAAAAAAAAAAAAAAGGAGAGAGAGAGAGAGAAAGAGAATGAAATAAGCATCATGTCCACATTCATTTGTTTATCCACCAAATAAGTATGGAGTGCCATCACTTGCCAGGCACCATTTGGGGAGCCGGAGTGACAGCAGTAATCCTGTGGCTTTCCTCAGGACCTGGTGCAGTCGTGGCAGAGGCCGGCTCCTGATAAGGACGCAGGAAGGGAGGGAGAGAGGGAGCGAGGGAGGGAGGCCATCTCCCAGGCGGTGCCCTGGCCTCTCCCAGCCCCGCACGCATGAGCCAGGGCCCTGAAGCAGCACATCGGAGCCCAACCGGGGAACCCTTAGCACCTCATGCTGAGGGTGGCGGGCAGCTGCGGGAGAGCCTCCTCCTGTCCTGGCAGTTCCTTGCGTACCCAGCTCTGCTCAGCCTCGTGTCCCCGTGCGTCACCCCTTCCCCTCGGCCGCTCTTGGCTCTCGTCCTGTCTTCTGCCAGCACCGTGTTGCACGGCCTCCCTGGGAGGCTGTTTGCCTGCACCAGCAGCTGCCTGACTCGAGCCCAGGGGAGCCGCTGCGTCTTGTCATCCCGGCCACGGGAGATGGCATTGCGTTCGTTCTGTGCCAACCCAGGCGGCCACGTGACAAGGGGCAGGATGGCGCACCTCGTTTCATTTTTTCCTTAGCTCTGGTGACATGTGTCTGGGGCCTTGTTTGATTTGTGTCCTGCGTCTTGTTTCTTCCCCTCCCCTCTCTTCAGCTGCAGAGAGCCAAATCCCCCATCAGCCTGAAGCGAGCATCAGATTTTCAAGGTTAGTGAGACGCCTGAATCCCTCTCGCCATCTCATCCGTCACTCCAGCTCTCTCGGTCCATCTGTTTCTCCCACTGGGGCCATCAGTCCTGCAGGGTTAACCTGGAGAGGCCTTGGGGGTCCCCCGGTGGTGGGGTCTGCCCAGATAGCAACTAATGTTTATCGGTATTCAAAGCGAGCAGGAGCCTGGATGGCAGGCATATCGCCTCTGTGGTTCCCTCCACCCCACCCCACTGTACCTGGTGGGTCTGTCCAGAGCCCCTGACTCTTCTGCTGACTGTGCGTCTCTGCTCACAGGTTGTCAGCTGGAGGACTGTGTGCCCTTCCCTTAAGACTTTGGTCTGGGTGGTCCCCAGATTCATGAGGCTGCCTGTTCACCCGCAAGCCTCTGGTCCTCCAAGACACACTGCTTCCAGCATCCTCCCTCCCACTCGTGCTGGTCTGCGTGATCGGCCAGCAAGGCTTGGTGCAGGCAAATCAAGCACCTACTATGTGCCAGGTGCTGGAAGGTCTTGGTAGATGCCCATGGAGCCCACACACTCAGGCAGGGCCATAGCCAGGAGGCGGAACGTGCGTGGGACACTGAGAGAGCATGTGGAGGAAGGTTGGAGAAAGATCCCTCGTGAAGGGAACATTTAAACAGGGCCTGGAAAAGGCAGCATTTTGGCCAACGGGCAGTCTCCGGAGAGACTCCTCAGGACGGATCTTAGCACGTAAACAGAGGTGTGGACCAGGAAGTGTGCAGCACAGAAGCTGCCCTGCAGACGTGGCGCACAGAGCAGGAGAGTGCCGGGGCTGAGACCTCAGGCACCGTGCTGGAGACATGGCCCATCCTGCACAGGGAGGACCTCTAGATGGCTCGGGGGAAGGCAAGAGAATGAGGAAGCCCTCGTTTCAGGCAGTTCTCGTCAAGCCTGGAGGGCAGGGGAGAGGCCCAGAGCTGGGGCCCAGTCCAGATCCCTCATGGCTTCGTCAGGAATCTCAGTGGCCCTCCTATCAGGAGGGAAGTGCAAAGGGCCTGGGGCCCGTGGGAAGTAGAGAGGGCATTTGTCCCAAAGGGAAGGGAGAGGTGCATCCAGCCACAGGGCTTCATTGCTCCTCACCAGACCCTGGCAGGCTTCCCACTGGAAGGTGCCAGGGACCCGGGGGAGGACAACAAGGTGCACACCAACCGAGGTGCGTATGTGCATCTGTCTATGGCTGTCTGTGTCTGTGCGCACACACGCACGCACAGCACGACAGGAGGTGACCAGGAGAACACAGATGACAAAGCCATCAGATGAGAGCCGAGAGGAGTGTGCAGAGTTCCCAGGCAGCAGGGGCAACGCCAAGGGAGGCTTTACTGAGGGGGGACAAACCTGCCCTGTCCCCACTTGCCCTGGTTCGCTGGTTGGCCAGCCCTGCCTGTCAGGGTGAATTGGAATCCATTCTGAGGATGGAGAATTGGGCAGGGGGACCTGTGCCCCCAGCTGTCCATTGTCCCCAGAGAATGCGCAGCATGTCCCCAGAGGCAAATGACGTCATCCCCCTTGACCCGGGCTGCTGGGGCTGGCCCTGGCAGGGGGCAGGGGCATGTTGGTGAAGAAGGCCCTCCCAGGAGCCTCCATGTAGGGTGGGATGGGAAGAGAAGGTTTCGAGCACTCTTCCTCCTGCAGATGCCAGAGGGGGGTCCGTGCCCCACCTGGCAGGAGGCGGCTCAGGGTGTACGGCCTGGTGGGAGAGCCCTGCCCTCCGTGCGCCTTGCTCTGATTTCCTTTCCCTCCCTTTTCTCTCTCTCTCCTCTCTCTTTTCCACCTCAACCCCCCTGGACACTTCCCTTCTCCATCTCTCCGGCATCTTGGGGACAGTCAAGGGACATGAAGAGGAAGGCGCCGACGCCATCCCCCGCTCCTCCAACTCCCTGCCCTCCCTGCCCGTCAGCAGCTCCTTCTCCAAGATGGTGCGTCTCCGCCCTGCCGCCCACCCCCAGCACCCGGCCCAGGTCCCCACCTCGCCCTCCTGGGTTGCAGCCCAGCCTGCCTTATGTTTATTTAAAGACCTTTCCACAGCCTCACAATGTATTTACACCTTCCTGCCGCCTGCTTTCCCAATTTAACACTTGGTGGGAGGAGGAGCCGGCCTCCGAGGGGCTGTAGCAAATCGAGCAGGCAGCTGAAAATTCTGCCACAGCTTCGCCCCTGGCGGCTCCGGAGGCCTGGGGGCTCAGGGCTGGGGGTGGGGGCAGTGCAAGCTGCAGGAGCCGCCACAGAGCCCAGGCTGGGCCCCCTCCTGGCCCAGCGTCCCCCACTCCCCAGCTGCAGCCCACCTGGCCAGAGCCAGGCAGGGTCCCAGCCACTGCATCCAGTGCCACTTGCCCCCAGCCAGGCAACAGAAGGCACAGGATTGGAAATTCTAACCCCGAGGGGAAGCCCTAGGAAGCTTGTCGGCTCAGCTTACAAAATCAGCCCCTAAGGGAGGCAGAGATTTCATAACGAATGATGCCTGTCTGATGGCGGCTCTGAGTGGCAAAATCCAAGGCTCTTATTTAAGGCAGCCCTTGCCAGGAGCCGGCAGGCCTGGTTTCAGAGGTCACCCTCCAGCAGCTGTGCTGTCCAGGGGCATCCGCTGCCCTCCCGACCACACTCCAGCCCCACAGTGTCCATCATGCCCACAGCAGGCGCAGCTGGGGGACATCGCGCTCAGCCTGTGCGGGTGGCAAGACACCCCGTGGCCTCCAGGGCCTTGGCTGGTTCCCTCCCGCCTGCATCCTCCCTGTGAGCAGATGTGTGAGCAGATGTGCTCCTAGCTCGGCGGCTGCGGCACCCCAGGCAGAGCGCGAGCCTTCTCCAGCCAAGGTCGCTGCCGAGAACCGGGTCGCTGCGCCCACACTGCCTGAGTCAGGGGGCAGAACCAATCCGAGTTAAATTTAGTCCCTGTGTATATGGTATTTATGCCCGCGGAGCCCGGGCGCATGCATATCCGGCTCCAGCAACACGTCTGTGTGTGTCTGAAGCAGCCCCACCGGAGCCGCAGCAGCATCATGTCAATCACCGCCGAGCCCCCGGGAAACGACTCCATCGTCAGGCGCTACAAGGAAGATGCGCCTCATCGCAGGTGGGTGGCAGGTGGAGGGAGGAGGTGGGACATCTGCAGGGCCCCACCATGTGCCAGTTTGCTCACCCTGCCCCCGGCTAGTCTGGGCCCAAGAACTCAGCCGTCCTTCCCTCCCCCAACCCATGTACACACATGCACACTCACACACACTCAACTCACACGAGTGCCCTCCCTGCCCCCCTCATGTTTTGCAGCACAGTCGAAGAAGACAACGACAGCGGTGGCTTCGACGCCTTAGACCTGGACGGTAGGTGTCTGTCGGGTCTGGGAGGGTCACAGTTGCCTCTCTCGAGAGCAGGGCACCTTGCACACACCTCTGACCGACAGCAGGGCCTGCCTAGGAAGGGGCCCTGCACATAGTAGGTCCTCGGGAAATGCCTGTGGAATGACAAAGAGAAGGAGATGAGCCTCTGTCCCCAGGCTTGCCTGTGGCCAGAGACGCCCTGGGAGCACATTCTCTGTCTCATGGGCAGTGGGGACACAATTAGGAGGAATGCTCTCGTGAGTCGTGGCCAAGCCCTGCAGAGATGCTTGGCCCATGTACCAGCTCCAGTTTAATCCAACGGCTGCTTCTGGAAATACTATTGTTATCACATTCCGCAGATGAGGAAAGGGAGTCTTAGAGACACGCAAGAACAGTAGGGTGGAGGGTGGCGCGGACGCAGGGAGTGCTCATAAGAAATCCGTACGTTAAGCTGGTAACCAACCTGCATAAAATGAGTATAGGGTGAGGGGACCAGGTTATTTTTCATTCCCTGAAATGGGGGGGTGTAAGGCAGGCTGACACAGACAGGGCTGAGGCTATGGGATGGTCCTAAAACACCCTCGCAGGCAGGGCTGGTGCTGTGAGGAGGCCGCACAGAGCCAGGACCGTGGGCTCGGTCTCCAGGGCAGAGCGTGTGTGAGGCACCAGCCACCCTCCCCCCAGCCAGGAAGTCCAGCTCGGCCCAGCACCCCTCTCCCCGCCTCGTGCTAGGAGCACACAAATGCACAAACTCACGTTAGGAGACACACAAACTCACGTCCCCAAGTCCCTGCCTTGGCAGAGACAGTGAGGTTACAGCTGTGAGCCAGTGGGGCAGACGGATGCAGGCTCCCAGACCCGAGGAGCATCTGGATGGGTCAGTGGGAGGGAGAGAAGGAGGAAGTGCTGATCGGGGCTCTCTGGAGATGACTCCACATTCGCCTCCGGAGGGTGGCAGCAGGAGGCTGCAGCTCAGAAGCCCCCAGGCATGTCCTGCCAGCCCCCTTGGGTCCAGGCTGCCCCACTCTGCCCCCACCCCGTGCCAACCAAGGCTGCCAGCAGATGAGAGGCAAGATTAGTGGTCCTCCTTAATGGGGACCATTGGAGCCACCAAGTGTTAAAGAGAGGTTAGCACCTCATTGAGGCTGGGTAATGAGAAGAATTGAAAGAGTTTGGAAAGGGGAGAGCTGGGAGGAGAGGCCTGGGCAACCATCCAAGGTATTTTGCAGTGTCGGGGAAAAATCCCTCTGCAGAGAAGAAGCCTTTGTTATCAGCCCCGAGCAGCATTCGCAGGTCCAGGGTGTGTGGAGTAGGGGTCTCTCCCCCAGGGCCCCCCAGTCAGGCCATGTGAGAATGTGGGGAGGGGCCTCTGTGTCCGGCCCAGAGCCTCCTCTTTCTGCCCTGCTCAGGCCCAGAGGGTGGAAGCTGGTGGGTGTTGGGGAGACCCAGGGTGGCCCCAAAATGAAAATCTGAGGACTCAATTGAAAGGCAGAACCAGCTACTGCTAATGGAAAGACACCCCCCCAAACCCCACCACCTTTCCAGATACAAGAAAAGGATAAAAAAGGATTCTTAAAAACCATATCCCTAGTAAGCGGGCACTCCTAGAGGCAGGAATGGCTCTCGCGGAAAGGACGCAGGGCTGGACTGCCTGTGCCCCCGGGCCTCGGGGACTCTCAGGGACAGGCAGGGGTGGGAGGGCCAACCTCCCTCCATTCGGGTGCTGACAGGCCCTTGCTCCCTTGCAGACGACAGTCACGAGCGCTGCTCTTTTGGACCCCCCTCCGTCCACTCCTCCTCCTCCTCCCACCAGTCTGAGGGCCTGGACGCCTACGATCTGGAGCAGGTCAACCTCATGTTCAGGAAGTTCTCTCTGGAAAGGTGCCTCTGCCATCGCGCACAGGGGAAGCCGGGGTGGGGCAGGGGCGGGACAAAGGCCCCTCATCCCCTCGCTCCCCCACATGTCACGCCACGTGGCCAGCAAGGGGGCCAGGACGCCCCAGCCCCTGATGGACGCAGGAGGCTGTGCCACCAGGGTCCCCGCGCCCCTCTCACCCTGGCGTGTCCTGGTGGAGCCTTTCTCTCCTCAGCGCAGCTGCCTAACTGCCGTTTCATTTCCTGCCGCAGACCTTTCCGGCCCTCGGTCACGTCTGTGGGGCACGTGCGGGGCCCCGGGCCCTCAGTGCTGCACACGACACTGAACGGTGACGGCCTCATCACCCAGCTCACCCTGCTGGGGGGCAACGCCCGGGGCAGCTTCGTGCATTCAGTCAAGCCGGGCTCCCTGGCCGAGAAGGCGGGCCTCCACAAGGGCCACCAGCTGCTGCTGGTGAGGCGCTGGGGGCTGGGGGGGGGGGCCAGAGGTCACAACGCATGCCCCCTGCTGACAGGAGCCCCTGAGCCCTGTGTCCAGCTGCAGACCCCTGGGTGGGAGGTGGGAGCTGGAAGCAGCCCTTACCATCAGCCTCCAGGCGCTCCTCTCCCCAACTCCCCACGCGTGTTCCTGGAGCCCGTGCACACACACAGCACATGCCTGCTCCCAGGATGCTTCTGCCCTCGGCAGCCTGAGTGGGATGTTTGACTCCCCGAGGGGAGTAGTCTCACCCCGAGACTCTGCTGCCCACGGAGCTGGGGCAGAACGGTGTGTCTTTGCTGTCTAGCTGGAAGGCTACATCAGAGGCGAGCGGCAGAGTGTCCCCCTGGACACGTGCACAAAGGAAGAGGCCCACTGGACCATCCAGAGGTGTAGCGGCCCCGTCACGCTGCATTACAAGGTCAACCAGGAAGGTGAGGCTTGGCCGACAAGAGACTAGGAGACTCCAGACCTGGCCAAGGGTCGGGGCAGGTCCCGGACCAAACAAGTGACCCCACCGCCCAGAGCCCCGACTCCTCACCCTCACCCTCCATCAGGAGGGTCCGGGGAGCAGGTCTGGGAGAGCAGACAGGATGCTGGCAACCAGATCATGGCTTTGCTGTCTCATACTGGGCTCTGTCGCCAAGTCCCCACGCACCTGCCCTGGCACAGGGGACACAGCATCCCCAGCCTCAAGCACACGTGTCAGACCCAGGCAGGAGGAGGCAGTGCCCCTGGCCTGGATCAATCCTCCCTGCCAGGGTGAAGTTCATGGGTGGCAGCAGCTCTGGGGTGGCCCCACAGGGTGGCGTCACCTCTGAGCAAGGCCCTCGAGCCACATCCCCTACCCCAGGCCTTTTGCTGTGTGGTCCCCACCCCCCCAGGACGGTGGGCCTTACCCTCCCTTCCCATCTGGGCCCAGCAGCCTTTGATTCCTTATCTCCTCTGTTATCTCCAGGACAGAGCCCTGAGCTTTGTTTTCCATTTCCTGTGTCCCTGAGGTCTGAGTTCTATCTCTCACCGCTGGGCTTTCCTGCATGATCATCTCTGCAGCTGGATTTTATTTTTAACCACCAGGGCTCATGAATGTTTCAACAGAGCATAAATAGCCGTTTCTTTCTAGCCGCCCTCCAGTGCCGCCTGCTCGGCTCCTTCCCAGCAGCGTCCTGCCCATGGGGAAAACGATAATGACACTCTGTCCCCAATCGCAGGCCGAGTCGCCCCACACGCAGGGCAGGCTGCTCCCCGCTCCCGAGGCCTGGCTTTCCGGCCAGGCGGAAAATCTCTGGGCAGTGCCCTGCCCACTGGCGGGTAGCACCACAGACTGTGATGTGGGCAGCGCCCCCCAGCGGTGGGCGGGGGCAGAGCCCCGCAGTTGGAACTCCAGGAAGAGAAGGTTCACTCTGCAGGGACCTGCTTGTAGGCCCTTTGCTCACAGGGGGCAGAGAGCTCAGAGAGTGATGGCTGTTGACCCAGCTGGGTGGGTAGGAAGGACGCTGACATGCACTGGACAAAGTCAGACCCCCCAGAAGGACCCACCAGAGAACCCGTGTTCCTCCACGACACACAGTGGGGACATGGGCCAGACAACTGCTGGCTGAAACGTCCCTGGAATGTGTGGTATAGACACCTGGCGGGTTACTCTGGGCCTGGCTGTTAGAACTGGTTTAGCTTCTGCTGCGTTACACAGCCCTCTGCATGGGGGGCTGATTTGGAGATTTATATTGTGAATTTATATCATGGACATTTGCAGAGAGCTTGCTGTATTTATTGTACTCATGGTTTACACCTTGCTTGCTTCCTTCCAAAACATTTGCAAAACTTTACTTGCAAAGACAATGACACGTAAGGTTAAAACAACACGTACCATGGTCCTATCTCTTTGGAAAACCATTTGGCAGTATCTGCTAAGGCTCAATATATATGCACTCCATGACCTAGTAATTCCACCATATCCAAGAGAAATGAGCATATTGCACCAAAAGCAACCTGTAAGAATAATTCACTGTAAGTTATCCACAGTGGCCAAAAACTGCAAAATACAGATGTGCGCACAGGAGAATGGATAAACGCATAGTGTGGAGTGTAACACACCCATGCAAACACACGCACTCCCAATACACGGCAGCGTCAGGGACAAACCCAAGGGGGGTGATGTTGAGCAGCCGAAGCCAGAAGCAAAAGAGCGAGTACTGTTAGGGTTCCCTGTACGTGACGCGAGACGCAGCTTATCCGCCGTGACAGCGGTTAGGGGACAGGCGCCTTTGGAAGGGCATTGACAGAGAGCTCTCTGGGTGGCGGCTACCCCGTGTATACATCTGTGAAAATTCATCAAACTAAATACTTAAGAATGTATGCAGTTTGCCATATGTAAGTTGTACATCAATTTAAAAAAATTAAAAAAGCAAATGCTGTGCCATGCTGGGAAAGGCGTGGAGGTCGTAGTGGAAATGCTAGTAGAGGCGATGGCTGCAGCTTTGCACAGATTTTAGCTCCGCACTGCCTGGCAGCCAAGAGAAAAAGGAAAACAGGTAAATGACACGGCTGCCCATTCATCAGGGAAGAACTTTTCCCTAGCCATGAACTCTAGAGGCACGTGTCACCTGGGCACATTATCTCAGGGCGGTGGTGAGTGACTTTGCTCTGGGAGCTGCTCCCACAGCCAGCCGGCTCTTCTCCCCCCTCCCCCCGCAGGGTACCGGAAGCTGCTGAAGGACGTGGAGGAGGGCCTGATCACGTCGGGGGACTCGTTCTACATCCGGCTGAACCTGAACATCTCCAGCCAGCTGGACGCCTGCACCATGTCCCTGAAGTGTGACGACGTCGTGCACGTCCGAGACACCATGTATCAGGACAGGCACGAGTGGCTGTGTGCGCGGGTGGACCTCTTCACGGACCAGGACCTGGACGTGGGCACGATACCCAGCTACAGCCGGTGAGGCCAGAGCCTGACCGCGAGGAGGACCAGGCAGGGCAGGGGCTGAGGAAGCCGTGAGCATCGGCAAAGGGGCCACAGAGGAGCCCAGGCCACAGAAAGGCCACGCCTGTGGCTGTTGAACAGGGAGGTCCCCCAGTCCCTCCTCCCCAGGAAGCCTTTCCTGCCTCCGCAGGGACGTTTCTCTCGCCCAGCACCTCCTGCAGGCTGGTGGTAACCAGACAGCTTGGCACTCGATTCTGTGCCCTCGCTGTGTCCCCTAGTCACTTCTCCTCCGTAGGCCACGTGCCAGCCACGCTAGGTGGCTGTAGCAGGCCTGGCTGTCCTGAGTGCAGGTGGCGCGTCAGGTAGCACAGCAGGCGTCTGGAAAGCATCTGTGAGACCTTAGTGTCTGTGAGACTGGAAACTGCTTCCCGGGCCAGTCCCGCCAGGCAGGCGTCGCCAGGCAGGCCTGCAGGCGAGGGAAACAAGGCTCAGACAAGTGAAGCCACTTTGCCACAGCCCCACAGTCAGTCGGAGCCAGAGGCAGGATTCAGACTCAGATTCGAGGCACTGTCTTCTCCCCGGGGTGCCCTGGGGCTCGGAGCTCACACCATCCACAGGGCCGGGCACGGCCCCACCCGCACGGGCACCATGCAGAGCCGCTGCTGGCCCAGGCCCGGCCTGAGGCTCTGCCCCGCTTGCCTCCCCAGAGCCCAGCAACTCCTCCTGGTCAAGCTGCAGCGCCTGATGCACCGGGGCGGCCGCGAGGAGGCAGACCCTGCCCATCACACCCTCCGGGCCCTCCGGGTAGGTCTGCCCCGTGGCCCTGCAGGGCAGCAAGGACAGGGACCTCGCCAGCCTCAAACCCGCCTCCCCAGGTCTTTGTTGGCGGGAATAACAGCAGGGGGCGGCGGGATCCATTCATATTATTGAGACAGTGACTTACAGGGGCACGGATCTTTAGGAAGGGGACACCTTCTCTAGATGGAGCCCCATCCTCTTGTGCCCTTCCCCAGGCTCCAGCTTTGCCAGGGAAAAGGGTGGTGGCTGAGCCAGTTTCCCATTCCGGCTGGACTGTCGGCTCTGCTGTCTCTGGCCTCTGTCAAACAGTCACCTTCTCCAAGTCTCATGACTCCTCTTACCCCTCCCCGTCCACCCCCTTCTGAAACCCTTTGATCCCACAACTGAAGCTTCGGCACAGAGGGGCTTGGCGACAGGTCGCCGGTTCTCAACAGCATCACTGATCTCACCAGCCCTGCCAAGCCCAGCCGGGTCTGACTGATTGATAAACTCGTTTCAGAACACCCTGCAGCCCGAAGAGCTGCTTTCAACAAGCGACCCCCGGGTCAGTCCCCGCCTCTCCCGAGCGAGTTTCCTCTTCGGCCAACTCCTTCAGGTAAAGCTCTCCAGCGAGCCACTGACTTTGCAATCACGCTGGCTGTGGCCTTGCCCTCTGCCTACTGAGACCAGACGCCTGCATCAGAATCACAATGCTTTGTGTTTGTACACCACTTGCAACTTTTCACAGGGCCTCACATCTGCTGTCCCGTTTTATCCTCTCAGCGACAGGTCGGTAGACAGTCGGTAGACAGTGACTGTTGGAAGCAAGTCCCACTTTCATAAAAGATTTGAGGAAACTTGTGGCCAAAAGAAACTTAAGTCAGCTGTTCAAATATTAATAGAAAAATCAGCAACAGTGTATCAGGGGAAGAAAACAAACATTCCCAATATCTAGGCCAGCATAGCTCCTTGGTTTAACCATTAAATTTATCTGAGCATCCTGGAAGCCAAGGAGAAAAGGGAACCCCAGCAGGTGCTATCTACAGAAACATTTTAGCTCTTCAGGACCAGAAAGGATTTTTCCCTTTTACTTAATTCTAAAAGGAAACAAAAACAAACTTTTTTTTTGCATGGATAATTACATTTAAAAAATTGATTAGCACAATGTGTGGTATGTTCAGAAGTGAGTTCACATAAGTACGGGAGCCTTTTTATGACCATTTCTTATGTTACCAGTTGACAATAGCTAAGTTTTAGTTATATTAAAATGTAGTCCCATGAGCGTGTATCTGGGTAGTTGCCATGCTAATTGGGCCCCAGCAGAGCCAGTGTGACACTCCACTGCTCCATCCTGACATTGGAACAGAGGAAACCCAGAGCAATGGTTCCTGGTGGGACCTAAAACCCAGGTGGACACAAACAGGTGGCAGAGAGACACCAGGTGGGAGGGGACCCTGGCAAAGTCTGAGATATTCCTCAAGGGAGGACATCTACAGTGACACACCATTTCGCCCACATGTCATGCATAAGTCTGGAAACCTTGAGTCTCATACAAGGGCGTGCCGCCAGCCAGCACCAGGGCTGGGCTGAGACCCCAGCTCGCCTGCATTCTCCTTCCTGCAAAGGAAGGGTGTGGGGGGACAGTGTAGCCCTGGGAACATGGTGTGAACCTGGCCTCTCTGCCCACCGCTGGGGCGTCCTGTCTGCCCTCTAGGACTGAACCCTGTGAGTTGTAGCAGGAAGTGGGTGCCCCCCAAAAGACTCAGGGATACTGAGGCAGGGGTCAGGCCATGGTGAGCAGTGTCGAGGGAGACAGAGCTGTCCAGAGCATGACCACCACATGTACAGTGTGTGGGCTGTCCGTCAGGGGTCCTCACCAGCCAGGGCACAGCGGGTCCCAAGTGCCAGCAGAGGCTACACCCAAAGTCCCCACAGGAGTGTAGGTGGGACTGATGGAGATGCTATCAAGGGTCTGGCTGGGAAAGAGGCTTGGGAGCTCGAGCATTTGTTCACTTACTGACCTACTACCTACTCGAGCCACCTGCTGGGCAGCTCCAGTTCTTACAGGGAACTGACTGGGCCAGGGACCCCCGGGCAGGGCTGGGATTTGAAGAGAGGTCTGGCTTTGTCAGGATCAAGGCAGCTCCGCCTGGTCAGAAGCAGGAGACCGACTGATCCCTCCCTGTGTTCCTCCAGTTCGTCAGCAGGTCCGAAAACAAGTACAAGCGAATGAACAGCAACGAGCGGGTCCGCATCATCTCGGGGAGCCCGCTGGGCAGCCTGGCCCGAAACTCGCTGGACGCCACCAAGCTCTTGACCGAGAAGCAGGAAGGTACATGGTGACTGCGAGACCCCTCCCCACCGCCTTGGGCCACACAGCACCCCCTGAGGGCACATTGGTCTTGTGAGGGGCCTAAAACTTGGCCTGACCAGGAGGACCACGCAGCCTCCCGGGGTGACGTCCACCAAGCTCACCCCTCATGGCGCTGTGGTCACTCTGAGCCCAGATGCCACATTAACGGGGCTATTTGCTGTGAAGTGTCAGGGACTGATTTCTCCACCCACTGAGCACCTCTTGCTATTTAGCCATCCAACCAGGGGACACCGGGACACCATCCCCCACAGCAAGGCCCGGCCAATGGCCAGCCAGGCCCTGAGCTCAGGGGAAGGTAGGCCAAGGCCCCAGGGGAAAATCAGAAAGAAGCCAGGGAAGAAGTCAAGGGACGAGGCACTGGATTCTGGGGAACATTAACAGACCCCCAGTCCCGAGTCTCTGCCCAGCACCCCACACACCAGCCAGATGGGGCTTGACAAAGTGGAACTGGCAAAACGTCACCACCACCTGCCACGGCCTGGCTCCCACACCTCACCCTTCCCTGCCGGATGGCGCCTGCCGGTCGCAGGCCGTGCCCCTCCTCCAAGAAGCAGCCTTGACCAGCTGCTACAGCAACCCCTCCCTCCCGAGGATCCATGTGCTCCTTGTCTGCCTCCGCCCACCTTTCACCCCCGCACGAGGTCCCCACAGATGTGGCTCCTGAAGACAGGGCTGGATACCCAGGGCTCCGGCCAAGCCTCGTGGCTCACGGCCAGCGGAGCTCGGCTGCTGCCCTTTGCAGTGGCCTCTGGGCCCCAGCCCCAGGTGGCACATCCCCCCGAAGGCCTCCCGGGCCCTAGGGCTGAGGGGGCACCCTGGAGGTGGGGGGCAGGGTCCTGACAGCCACTCTCTCCTGCCCCCACCAGAGCTGGACCCAGAGAGCGAGCTCGGCAAGAACCTCAGCCTCATCCCCTACAGCCTGGTGCGCGCCTTCCACTGCGAGCGCCGCCGGCCCGTGCTCTTCACGCCCACCGTGCTGGCCAAGACGCTGGTCCAGAAGCTGCTCAACTCGGGGGGCGCCATGGAGTTCACCATATGCAAGTCGGGTGAGCAGAGGTGGCTGCCTTGGGGGCCCCGAGGGAAGCTGTGGACAAGGCGACCACCCCTTCCCTCTCCACCCCCACCCCTCCCACCCCCTTCCTCCTCCTCCTCCTCCTCCATCCCTGGGCATGGAGAAGCTGCTTCCTCCTCGCCAGGTGTAGACCGTGAGGGAGTGAATCCACTCCCACATTGTCCCCGTGGCCCAGCAAGCCGAGAGAGCTGCCTCCCTTCACCTCAGGGGGAGAGGGCGAAGGTCACAGGGTCAGCCAGGAGTTCAGGTCCCCCCTAGGCTCGAGGCTAGCCAGCTGCTTGGTGTCCTCATGCACAGCAGGGCGATGGCGCCCACCCGAGGTGGCGCAGATCGCGAGGCCCAGCCCTGCTGTGCTAGACCCATCATCAGAACCATTGGTGTTTAAGCACAGGGATGCCAGGCCGGGCGTGATGGCTCCAGCCTGTGACCCCAGCACTTTGGAGGGCCAATCGCTTGAGGCCAGGAATTCAAGGCTGCGGTGAGCTGTGATCGAACCACTGCACCCCAGCCTGGGCAACAGAGCAAGACCCTGTCTCAAAACAAACTGGATGCCCATGCCCACTCAGACCAGTTAAACATCAGATGTCTAGGGGTTTTTCTTTTTTTTAATGGTGGTAAAATAAGCATAACACAAAATTTACCATCTTAGCAATTTTAAGTGTACAGTTCAGTGGCATTAAGTACATTCTCATTATTGTGCAGCCTGATGGCTACCTTCCATCTCCAGAATTCTTCACCTGCAAACTGAAACCCTGTCCACATTAAACACTCTCCATCCCCTTCCCTAGCCCCAGGTATAACAGCAGTTATACTTTCTGTCTCTGTGCCTGGGGGTAAGTCATCAACCTGTTTCTCCTCTGTAAAACCCAGCAGGCACTTCTCATAGAGGTTGCAGGTGGCAGAGTCCAGCCTAGGTCTCAGGTTGTGCCCCCTGGGTGGAGCAGACAGGGCACAGACATGGGTTCCACAGCTCTCTGAGTGGTGGCTGCAGCCCACCTCCCTTCTTAGCAGGGTTCAGTGGCCCTGCAGCCTCCAGGCCCCAGCATTCGGGAGCACAGGAATCTTTGGAGGGCGTGTACCAATGCCATTTTCCTGCCTGACCCCTGGGAGCCACTTGCCGCTTCAGGGACAGGCTCAGGGAGAGGGATTTCACTCCTGCCTAAAGCCCCAAGCACTTTTCCCCTGGCACCTTGGCCGATGGGAGGCTTGGTAAAAAGCCTTATTTGAAAACCCCACTTAGCCTTTTTAAACTCTGCAGACATATCTCGTCTTTGCCTTGTGTCTTCACTGCCAGAGGCTATTGTTGGTTCCCTGCATGCTCTGAGTTTGCAGTTGGTACCTGGGAGCTGGCGTGAGCTCCCCTGGGCCAGACTGGACCTGAGCAGAGAATTTCAGAACTGAACTTACTCCACACTCCTCCTTTAGCCAGTGGAGAACCTGAGGCCCAGAGAGGTTAAAGACATGTTCAGGGTCATCCAACAAGTAGGTAAGGCCTCTGATACACACCATCTCCTCCAGGGAGCCTGCCTGCACACCTCTCCCCCACACTTCCTCAGTGCCCCCACATTAAATAGCCCATCACTGTACCCACTAAGTTTTATTATATAATTATCTTGTCACCCACATTCTTCTACCCAGCTAGATTGCAGATTTGTTAGTACAACAGCTGTGTTTTTAACATATTTTTCTTTCTACTGCCTGACCCTTAGTAGGGTTGATTGGGTGGGTGGATGATGGGAGGATAGATAGGTGGGTGAATAGATTGGTGGGTGGGTGGGTGGATGGATGGATGGATGGATGGATGGATGGATGGGAGAATGGGTGGGCAGATGATGGTTGGGAGGTGGGTAGGAAAATGGATTGATGGATAGATGATGAATAGATGGATGCGTGAATAAACACATGCATAAACAAATGAATGATGGGTGGATGGATAGGTGGGTGAATAGATTGGCGGATGGATGGATGGATGGATGGATGGATGGGAGAATGGGTGGGCAGATGATGGTTGGGTAGGTGGGTAGGAAAATGGATTGATGGATAGATGATGAATAGATGGATGGGTGAATAAACACATGCATAAACAAACGAATGATGGGTGGATGGATAGGTGGGTGAGTAGATGGGTAGTTAGATAAACAGATGGATAAACGGATGATGATGGGTGGGTGGATGTATCGGTGGATGATGCGAATGGGGGGTGGACAGATGATCAGGGGTGGCACAGGAAATTCTTCATGGTTGGTGACTGGAGATCAGCACTGCACCAGTGTCTGAGCTACGTGGTCCATGAGTATTTACTAAACACCTGCCCTGGGGGCTGCCATGGGGAGTGTGAGGACGTGTGACCTTGGTCCTGCCCTCAAGGGGCTTCACAGTCCAGTGGAGGAGACAGAGTTCATTTAAACATGGCTGGAAGGGGGTCAGACACCGAGTCGTGTAGAGCCCATCAGGGGCGGGCAGGGCCTGGGTGGGACGATCAGCCCAAGCCCCCCTCGTGCTGCCTCAGGACTCGTCCCTCTGTCTGCAGACATTGTCACGAGGGATGAGTTCCTCAGAAAGCAGAAGACGGAGACCATCATCTACTCCCGAGAGAAGAACCCCAACACTTTTGAGTGCATCGTTCCGGCCAACATCGAGGCTGTGGCAGCCAAGGTGAGGTGGGCGCTGGGGGCCTGGGCGGGGCCGGGAAGCCCCCTGTCCCCAGCAAGGGTGGGATGGAGAGCTGCTCTCACCTCCCCATGGCCCCTGTTAACTTTCTCTCTCCGCCCTTGTTCTCTGGGCTCTGATGTGGGTTTATATTTTGGAGCCACCTTCTATTTTTGGTGGCTTCCTGGTGCTGGTGTGCTGGCTCACATTGTTCAGGGACGTGTGTGTGTCTGGTTGTGATAACAAGGGCCAGACATAGAGGGCGAGCGTGTCAGGGTGAGAGACAGGGCGAGCAAGCAGGTGACAGGCGCCGCGTTCACCGAACGGGAAAATGGGGCGTCAGAAAGGTTGCTGTCGGGGCGGCAGAGACCTTGTCCCCATGCAAGGCCGAGTCTCTTGGAGCCAGGTGCCTTGAAGGAGTTTTCTCTTGTCCTAGCAGTTGACAGATCCGAGACAGGGCAGTGTGACCTCAGCGTCCTAGCGGGGCGGGGGAGCAGCTCTGTGGGGACAAGAACCTTGGGGAGGGCAGGAGCAGGCACCCAGCCAGGACCTCCGTCTAGCCAGCGGTCGGTCACTCCTGCCCGCTCCTTGCGATACACATGCAGATAAGAGCACAGGCAGAGCCCTCAGCCATCCTGGAACAGTCTGTTGTTTTTTAAAGTCTGGGCCGCAGCAGTTTAGGAAATTCTGACAGCTGGAGTGGCTAGAAAATGAGTTGGCAGAGCTGGAGCCGAGAGCTCGTGTTGGCTGAGAAGGCGATGCTGTCCGGCGCGGTGCTGCTAGACACTGGGCACTGGCCACGCCGTGGGGTGTGGAGAGCGTGGGGTGTGGGGGTAGTGAGTGGCAGGAGGTCTGGGGGGCGCCGGGCTGGCCGTTTCCACCGCTGGGCCTGGGCATGTGAGCTTCACTGAGCTGCACGCTTAGGACGCTGTACGTATGTTCTCTTTCAGTGCAAAGTTTGGTGGCTTTTTAAAGTGATGCCTCTGTTGGAGCAGGGGTTGTCCTTTTTCTCACTGTTAAGAACCCTAGCAGATGCTCCCAGCCTGGCCCCTCACCTTCGTGCATTTTCCATCCTCTTGCCTAGTGCCAAGGATGCCCTTGCAGGCCTGCAAGAGTAGCAGGTGTTTTATTCACCCAGGTGAGGGGCCTGGCCTTTGCCAACAGCACACTGCTGTGCCCGGCAGAGTCCTACGGCTCGCCTCACAGAGGCCAGGTCTCACCTGTGCAGCCTGGCCCTGCGTCCCAGCCCGCCCAAGAGCCCGCACAGGTTGGGGAGAGCAGGTGGGCCCCCGCTGACCGCAGCCACTGTGCTCGCAGAACAAGCACTGTCTGCTGGAGGCCGGCATCGGCTGCGTGAGAGACTTGATCAAGTCCAACATCTTCCCCATCGTGCTCTTCGTCCGGGTGTCGGAGAAGAACGTCAAGAGGTTCAGGTAGGGCTCCCAGAGTCCCGGCTGCCCCTCCCCCACACACCCGCCAGGCCCCTGGCTCCCCGAGCCTTTGTTCCCCCACCCACCCATCCCCTTAGCAAGTCCTCATTGAGTACAGGACCCAAGTCCCAGGCAGACCCGGCCCGATCACAGAGCTGACACTAAGCGCAGCCTCAGAGACAGTAACTCACACGTGTGGGACAAGTGCTGATGGGACAGGGCGGCGCACTGCATGACCCGGGGTGGCGGAAGACCTCAGGACAAACCTGCGACCACCACTGCGGGGAGGGGCCCCGCAGATGGATGCTGGAGGACCCGCTGGCCCAGGCCCCGAGGCAGGGACGGCCCCAAGCGGGCCAGAGTTTGGGCGCATGGGGAAAGGAGGCGGACCCAGACTGGGCCAGGCCACGCTGGCCTCGGGATGGATGTGGCTCCTTACTCCAGATGCAGTGGGAAGCCACTGACGCTCTGAGCAGACGAGTGTCCCCCTGCAGGAAGCTGCTGCCGCGGCCGGACACAGAGGAGGAGTTCCTGCGCGTGTGCCGGCTGAAGGAGAAGGAGCTGGAGGCGCTGCCGTGCCTGTACGCCACGGTGGAGGCCGACATGTGGGGCAGCGTGGAGGAGCTGCTCCGCGTCATCAAGGACAAGATCGGCGAGGAGCAGCGCAAGACCATCTGGGTGGACGAGGACCAGCTGTGAGGCAGGCCCCAGTCTGTGACACCGCGGGGGCACGCGGCCCTCCTGCTGCCCACGGAGCTGCCCGGCCAGGGGCTCTGTCCTACCGGTGGTGGAGCCCTCCTTGGAGCCCCCGGGGACAGATACACCAGGCGGGGGCGGAGCAGGGCGTAGTTTATTCCACCTGGGGCAGGCCGGGCCCAGCCGTTCGGCCCTGCTGGCCGAGCAGGGAGACGGGGCGCAGGGGGCGCCAGCCAGAGGCCCGAGGCCAGCTGGCCCCTCAAAAGCCGGAGCAGCAGTTGAATGTAACGCATGGGACAGGAGTGCTCCCCACAGGACCTGGGGACACACCGTGAGCACATTCCCAGGCGGGACAGATCGGGGAAGGGGGAGTACACCGTGCTATTATTTCTTTCTTGCATTAAAACTTCTCCATTTCTTTGTTTTTGATTTTTTAAGTTGTTGTTAGTATTTAATAGTTTGCAGAGGTTTTCAGTTCTTGTCACCTTCCTAACCTGAAAACCACTCCCAGCAAGCTTAGTTGACACCCAGAAGGGCTCCGGCCCCACGTTCACTGGTGGGATGAAGGTGGGGTGACTATGCATCCCAGCTTCCCCGGACAGGCCTGATTGGCACTGGGCTTGGGGCATGCTTACGAAAGCACCCACTTTGACCAGCACGTCCTGATTTGGACGCTAAATTATACCTTCACCTGGGAAGGGCCTGTCCTTCTGTAGGCTCTGGGGAGTTCTTGCTGTCTGTGCCCTGCACCCCCCTGCCACGAGGCAGGACCCGCTTACTCAGCACTTTGCCGCACACTGTTGTCCCTGTCCCTTTGCATTTAGTGTCCCTGCCATGCAGCCTCACTTCATCCTCCAGTTCAGGAGGGGGTCTGTGCCCCATTGCCCAGGAGCCGGGGGAGTGCAGGAGAGCTGTGTTTCCTCAGCAGCAGGTAGCAAAGGCCCTAGGGGTTCTAGAACCATTCCTCTCCTTGAACCCCTTGGTGCAACCTTGCCAAGAATGGACCTCACGGGCATAGCCAAACCAGACCAGGTCATACTCTTGGCCAAGCACCATACTGTATAGACAGGAAGCTGGTAGGAGGCAGGCTTGGATTCAAACCCAGGTCTGCTGGTCCATTTGTGGGAACTGTGGGAGCAAGTGCTAGTTGACAGCCCGATATCCACACTCTCTTTCTTCCTAACAGAATCCAGATTTATTCTGAGAATCTGTGTACAGCTAAAAAGACATATTTCCTAGCCTCCCTTGCAGGTAGGGTAATCAAGGAAACGAAGGGGGAGATTTTAGGGAGAGACAAAGCAGACAAACACCACTTTTCTGCCTGGGATGCAGACATGATGGCTGGAGCTCCAGCAGTGATCTTGGATCTTGAGGTGATGGTGAAAAACAGGAACCCTGAGCAGGGGATGGTGGAGCAAAAAGATGAAAGGAGTCACAGTCGTTGGTGACACTCAGGAGCCCAGGACTACTGCTTGGATTTCTTTCACATGAGACAAAGAAGTTTTTATATTGTGTTCAGTGGCTGTTAGTTCAGTTCTCTGTTACTTGCAGCCTACAGCAATTCCTCAAAAATAATAGGAGCAGCCCTTTTCTCAATGGTTTCAAATACCACAAGCATGGGAGTTGGTCCTCTGCTAGGTTTTTGCCACATAGGCAAGGTATGAATTGTTTATAAAAGAACTCAATAAAGACCCAACCTAAAAAACAATACTGTGTGGCCTGTAGCATTTTCTGGCATTTTGACCCCTGGAAGACAAACAAGCACACCAAAGCACTGGGAGATGGGAGTAAATGGACAGGGGTCCTAAGAGGGCACCTTGTTCTCTCTAAAGATGCATCCCTACGTCACCGATTCTGAGCTTGCAGGGAACGCGAGGCCTCTGAAAACAAAAGCATCCCTCCAACAGCCACTTAGCAATGCAGCTTTTTCCAACACAGCCCCCGGAAACAAGTTGGATGCACCGGGTATAGAGAGGCCATGATTCCTCGGCCCAGCTGCAGTTATTTAGGGCCGGGGAAGCCGCTATGCCAGGAGATGCGGGGGCTGGAAGGCCTCTGCGTCCATCTTGTTAAAGCCCTAAGTGAAACAGTAAATTTCCCCCAAGCCGAGGCCATCGCGTTTCTCCCTGCAAGCCGTGCTTCCTTGTAAAGTGCTTAGTGCCGAGTGGACAGACGTGACTGGAAAAGAGTCCCAGATAAAAGGCCTGTTGATTGATTTATATTTATTTCTTTAACTTCAGAATTCTTGGGCTTGTCGTGCAAACTCGTGGCTTGCATGTAATTTGGGGGGAGGGGGTGAAGACAGGCCATGGGGAAAGATATCTGAAAAGAATTTGTGGTGGGTTTTTATCCCCTTGGCCCAGGTGATTGTAACCAGGCCCCAGATTGCAGGGCTGGGGGGTGGATACTTGCTAATGAGAAGGGGTGGGAGGAGACCAGAGCAGGGCAGGAATGAGGCTCCCTGTGCCCGGCTCTCCCCCGATGCACTGGTGAAATTAGCAGGAGGCTGGGATTGGCGCCCGAGGAACCTGTCCACATGCGGATTTCAAAGGAGATCTTCAACATCTGCTCTAGCTCCCGGGTCCTGTTCGTCAGCTACTGACAACCCCTGCAGCTGCCTGCAGGACCAAGCAGGGCCTGGGGTCCCAGGGAAAGACTGCACAGAGCTCCCTGCAAGGTCTGGCTGCAGCTCCAATTATCGCACAAGGGTCTGCACGCCGAGCTTGCTCTTTGGAGCCGGCCCAGGGTGCAGGGAGGCTGCCCGCACAGCAAGCCGGAGCCTGTGCCAGGCTGATAACACCTCGACGGTGCTTGGTCCACCTCACAGGACCTAGCCAAGCAGCTCAGAGCCACTGCAAGACGCAAGCCCCAGCAATCGTGTCCTATGTGCACGTGCACACTTTTCTGTCCAGGTTTTCTCAGATTCCCAAAGGGTCCTGTAATCCCAAAAAGGTTAAGAACCATTGCTGTTGGGTTTGGCAAATACGAACAAATATTTTTTTGAGCTTCTATTCTGTGTGCCAAGCATTTTGTAAATGTTATTTTACTTTACTTACCTCCCAAACTCTTCTCTGTTTTATACAGGAGACAAGTGAGGCTCAGATAGGTTAAGTAACTTGACCGAGGTCACACAGCCAGTATATTGGAACTGCATTCAGGTCTGGTGGATTTGCCAACCACAGTCTCTCAGCTGGATCTTCCGATCCAGAGCTGCTGTCTGGGGCCCGGGAGTGTTGGTCATGCATCTCCTCTGCTCTTCCAGTAACTGGGGAAGTGGTTGCTGTCCTGGGCAGTGGCTGGCGTGGGGCTGGGGTCACAAGATGACAGATTGAGACTCTCTCAGACAAGGCAGCTGCTCAGCCCCTGCAGCACCAGCCCAGCAGGCCCTGGGCTTCTACCTAAGCAGGCCACAAATCTGGGGACGCAGGCTCTCTAGCTCAAGCCAGGAAGGAGCTGCTTTGGGGAGGGGCAAATGCAGGAAGGGAAAGTCTTTGAGCTTTGGCATCATGCCACCATGCTGCCCTCAAAAGCCACCATATCCACTGGCCTCATTTTCCTGGAAGTGCTTCTCTCTGAATTGGCGTCCTAGTCACCCCTACTTCCCTTTCTCCACGGGATTTTTCTGTGGTAGTTCCGCCATGCCGACCAGGATGCTCACCCTGGCCAGCTCCTCTTGGTGCTATAGGCCCAGGTGGTCCCTCTGTGGTCACCATGCTGCTGGTTGCTGGGAAAAAGGAGAAGAGAGACACCAATAACAGTTATGACAACCTCAGGAGGTTGTCATGAGATCGAATGAAGCTGCAGGTGTAGAACCCAGGACCATCCACAGTGGCCACAGGACACAGAGTATTGGCCTATCATTTCTCAGACTGGCCCTACCATCTATAGAAGTCACGGCAAAAAGTGCGCAGCACCAGGAACCTCAGAGAGGAAAGAAGCTTCAAGGTAGAGAGGCTTTGTTTTTATTTGAAATTTTGTATCCACTTTTAATAGGTAAAACACAAAGTTCAAAAGCTGCTCGTTATAAAGGCTTACATTTAAAATCCTCGCCTCTCCCCATCCCTCAGCCCCATCCTTCCCCAACACACACAAGAAACCAAATTTATTAGCATCAGCGCGTCCTTCCAGAGCTCTTCATGCTCACACAAACCATATTCACGTACCAACTCCATTCCCTCCTCTCGTCATGATACCACAGAGAGCACATTGTACATGCTGTGCTCTACCTTGCTTGGGTTGGTCTGTTTAAACGTGTATCTTGGAGCTCTGATCAGTGCATATCTTGGGGCTCAAATTGGAGCAAACAAATGTACTTCCTCCTTTTGACAGCAGTCTGGTGTCCCGCCAAGGGCTGTCCACCTTTGCTTCACCGGCCTTGCTGATGAACGTCTGGTTGTCTCCAGGGAGTAACTGCCTGAGCATCCATCTGTGCAGTCTCTCTGCAGGGTAAACTGGACCAAGGACTACATGCTTATTCCCTTGGATGGAGCCCCATGGCCCTCCATGGGGTGGCACCCCTGGACACAGGCAGGTGGGTTTCCATTTGGCCTGTCTGGCTCATGGAGTCAGGTGTCATGAATGGATGGTGGACTCACCTGTCCCCCTCCATGCCCCAGTCGTGCTTTGAGTTCTAAGAACCTGACCCAGGAGCTGCTCTTTTAAACTGCAAAGTGGTGTGTGTGGTTTGTGAACTGTGGTTCTCCTGGGGGTCTGGAGGGACACTTGGTGCTGGGACTACCCCACCTCTGCAGGACACAGCTTGATCCTCTCCTCCTCCCACCCTCAGGAACACTAGTCCACGCAGGTGGTCCTTGGTGGTGCTGCTGTGGGGATGGCTGGAAGCCAGGCTCAGCTGGGGCTGGCAATCGCAGTGCCCACACATGCCATCCCCAGCTTGGTAGCTTCAGGGTTTTGGATTTCTTAATGGCAACTCAGGCTTCCAGAAACAGCGTCCCCAGAAGCTGCTTATGACCTAGCCTCAGGAGTCTCAGAACAACACATCCCCAAGAGAGTCAGGAGGACCAGCCCAGATTCAAGGAAAAGGAAAATAAATTCCTACTCTATCGGGGGAGTCCCAAAGAACTTGAAGCCTCTTTTAATCCACCTCATCCCCAAAGCCCATATTCTGGGAACTTCTGGGCTGAAATAGTAGTAAATGTCCTAAGCCAGTTACAGAGCCAACAGATTGTTTTCTACAAACTGTAGCTGCTCAGGGCAAAGTGTCACTTGCCTGACAGGTGATCCTAGCTGTGTAGAGAGGGCTTGGGCCTGCTGGGTGCGCTGTGTGGAATGCCAGCTTCTCAGAACTCAGAAAGGCTGGAGGTCTCCTTCTGCTCAAACAATACCAGGCAAGGGAGATGGGGAAAAAGAAGAGCCCCAGGGTGTCTGGAAGCAGTTTCATTCATCACCTCACCAGCCCAACAGGCTCTGAAAACAGGAGCAGAAAAGGCTTCAGAAGCTACAGAGATGGGCGTGATTCTCTACTACACTAATGGCAGCCATTAGGCACAAATGGCTATTTAAGTTTAAATCAATTAAAAGTAAATAAAATTAAAAATCCAGACTAGCCACATCTCAAACGTTCAGTAGCCTCATGGGGCCGGGGGGTACTGTATCGGGCAGTGCAGCTCACAACATGTCCATCACTGCGAGAAGTTCTATTGGACCGCTGCCTCAGACAGTTGCCACATTCCTGCCACTTGCCTGGCGCAGTGCTGGGTCCTGGAACACAGGAAATTATCAGCCCCAGTACCTACTCTCAGGGTGCCCGCAGCTTGCTGGGACAGACACAATTAAACAAGCCGTTGCACAGCTATTGGAGGGGCCCAGGGGCCAGCAAGGATGCAAATGAGTGAAGTGAGCCAGAGTAATGAAGTAGGGACAGAAGGGCCCTGGCAAACTGGAGCGCACGACCCATATAAAAGGGGCTCGACCTCGACCAGTACTCGACCTCGAGTGCTTGGCGCCATGCAGGCAGCAGCTCTGTCTCGCCAGAGCTGACTGTTCAAGAAAAGTGTTGGTTTGCTCTGCCAGGCCTGTTGCCTCATCGCTACAAGATGTCTGCCACAGATCCAGGCATCACATCCCCACATGCGGTGCCCACAGCAGGGAGGGAGGGAAATGGAGACCTCCCTCTTCGCGTGCAGTCTCTCCTTCACCACGGAGGAACAGCCTTCCCAGCAGCCCCCAGTCCTTCCCTGCCATCTCATTGGCCAACACCGAGTCACATGCCCGCCCCTGGGCCAATCACTGGCAAGGGGAAGGAGCAGCCATGACAGGCTTTGACCAAGCACGATTCTCCCGCTGGAGCTCTTCCCGTTACCATGCTGACGCGGAAAGCAGGACTGGTCTCTGGGGAGGCAAACAACATATCTGCCACAGGGGAGCGTGTTTAGATGGCATGGTTTCTTTGAGGCGGTGACATCGGAGCAGAGGCCCACGAGGAGTGGAAGCAGCGCAACAGCGCGGGGAAGAGCACTCAGCACCGGAGACGAGTGCAGCGGTCCGAGGCAGACACACAGCCCGTCCAGGCAAACGCAGGTGAAACGGGGCAGGGCGCCCACACGCAGGGGAGATTTCCCCCCGCTGCTGAGGTTCTGGCTTTGCCCGGTCGGCTGCTTCCCCTCTGCCACCCCTCTGCGGAGGCTCTACCCTCAGTCTGGGGCGTTTATGCCGGGAGGAGGGCGAGAGGCATTTGGGCAAGAACGGGGGTGAAAGTCTGGGGGGAATTTCCCAAGAGAAGAGGAGGCAGGGCAGTGTGAGAGACGTGTACGCGAAGAGGAGAGGAGCACATTTTCGAGTGTGACTATGAATGATGTGTTTGCTTCATAATATTCAAGAAACAAGTCTTGGGATTCATTTTTTGGTGGCTGGACTATGTTTCTTGGCTTCAGACACTTCTGAGAGACTGCCTTTGGGTCTCAGTTTTAAAGGGGCTGAGAATGTGCACAGCCAGGGGGTGGACAGCAGCCAGGCCCCATGGGGACAGGGAAACCTGCAGTGTGGTAGAGACTGCCTGCCCCAGCCAGGGCTGAGTGTGGTGTCTCTTCCCAGCTCCTGACTTAGGTTACATTAGTAGCCCTGTATTGGTGTGGCAGGAACGTTTGTACTTGGGAATTGGGCTTTTCCCCCACTGCGATCCGATCGTGGTGTTGGACCTTTCCTGGCATATCTCTGCCTACACCTGTCTCCCAGCCAGGGGACATCTCTGCCTTTTGCAGTCTGGGTTCCTCTCAGTCCACTTTGAGTCACTCACATCCAGATGCCTTCCAGCCTGGGACCTCAGCTTCCCATCCCTGCAGGAGGAATAGTATTGGACCAGCCTGCTTCAGGCTTGACCCACTCTGGGTGCAGCAGGTTCACATGGCAGAAGGTGGCTTCCAGAAGGAACTGGCCCTTCTCAGAGGTCACTGCTGGGGGGCACCCCAGGGACACCCACTCCTGAGAGTCCACAAGGCCATCCCTGCTCCGTGATTCAGGCCTTTCTCATGGCTGGTCTCATTCCCTGAAGCCTTAGCCGACCAGTAAGTATGCTGAGGAGGAGGAGAAAAAATCCAAGAAAAACACCAGAAGGATGACATTATATGTTGGCAGCTCAGAGAGAGAGAGTGAGCACGCACGCAATAGATAGCTCCCTCGGTGACCTTTCCTTGGCTCACATCTAACTTTTCTCCTGATACAACTATTTCATTGACTTTCTGTGCACTTTTTAAAAAATCAGAAACTGAAAGCAGAGGGCATTTTTGCCCCTAGCCAGCTCACAGGGGCTTCTGGGGAGCAGGGCCGAGCTGTCCTCCACCTAAGGGGTCACAGGGCCTCCCTCCCCACAGGCCTGGGTCCCTGTGCCCTCAGCAGGTCCCCTCCCACCCTGGCACCTGGCCTGGCCTCGGGTTGGAGGAGCTTCAACCCTGCACAGGCAGCTGCCCAAGGTCCCACTGACCTGCCTCCATACTCCAGCCCCGTCCATCACTTTCGTGCATCTCAGAGCGCCTACTTTGGGTGAGGAGGGCAGGGACCACCCTCTCTGGGCCTCTGGGTCTTCTAGCCTTGAAGAAGACCCTCCCAACTAGTCAAAGAGAGACATCTCCTCCCAGGGACTAATGCACCTACTGTGTGTCTGGCTCATTCACATGTGTCCTTTCCAAACCTGGTGTTCATCACCCTCATTTTAAAGCTGGGGAAACTGAGGCTCATGGGTGTGTCTCACAGCTGGAAACAGAGTTAAGACTCAAAGAGGGGAACCTCCAAGTGCTTCCCACCCCTGCCTCGGGGTTTCCTTGGCACAGGCTCATCTGGCTTCCTTCCAAGGGCAGAGGCCAAGGTCAGACAAAATTGAGAAAGCAGTGCTGAAAAAGGAGGGGGATGGGCCATGATACTGGGCTGCAGGTGGGGACTTGGCTCAGCCTTTCCCCCCCAGCCACTCCTCCTTGCGGCTGAGTGTCCCCACATGTCCACTTCCTGCCTTGCTCCTGGTGTCAACTACGCCCTCTGCCCCCAGGAGCACCTAGGCTTTTCCCTCCAGGCAGGGCCACACAAGGCTGTCCTGGCCAGCATCGGGAATCCACGGGCTCCTGGGCGTAGGCAGGAGTTGCATCTGCACCAGGCAGAGGTGGGTGAGGAGGGGGCATGGGGAGAAGAGGAGAAAAGATTTTTGGCTTTCTGGTTTGTGTGGATACTAAAATTAGCCGTTTGTGAATGAGGGAGCCAGAGCGCACGCCCTCTCCTCTCAGCACAGGCTGCTTTGAAGCCCCAGGTGCTTGGCTAAAAATTGTATTGAAAGTTTCCACGTTGGTTGGGGTGACTAGAAATGAATCTCTAATACAGGAATTTCTTTCTTTCCTATCGCATATCATATTTGCTTCTGATCTTGTTTTGACCGATGCTGCATGCCTCCCCCAGCCTGTCTGAGGGGTGGGATGTGAATGTGGGTACAAGGCTGTGAAATTGCATTCGCCTGTGCGTGTGTGTGTGAGAGAGACAGACAGACAGAGAGGGAGAGAGGAAGGGAGGGAAAGAGAACAGAGAGAGAAAAACAAAAAGAGACAGACACAGAATCAGGGAAGCCATTAGCTCCCCAAGAACAAGACTAGCTCTTACCACACCGTGTCCCCAGCCAGAGGCCCAGCACAAGGTGGACTGTAGGCATCTTGGTGACATGAGAACTGGCCCCAGCTGTGGTTGGCCATGCATCACTTTGCAGTAAGGAGTCCTCAGGTGTGTGTGGGCTGGGAGATACCTGTGACGTGGGATGACGGGGATCCTAGGAATGGGAAGGGGACATCTGAGCTCTGAGACAACTTTCCGTGAGGACCAAGTGAGCTCATGCAAGCAAACTGCCAAATTGGCACCTCCAGCCCAGCTGGGTTAAACTGCCAGCCTAGAGAAGCCAGGGCCCCTTGACTTCTCCACATGGATTTCCTCAAAATCAACATCCAAAACCAAACAAACTCGATATTTTCTCCCTGGAAAGAGGAAATCTATTCCTCTTCCCCTTTCACAAATGGCACCCTGACCCGCCAGCCACTCAGGCTGGAAACCCAAGACTCAGCCCCGGTTCCCAGCTGACCCCAGACAGAAGCTTCGAATCCCCTGCCTCTCCCCAGCCCCACCACCTGCCCCATATGAGCCATGAACCCCTTGGAAATGTGAAAGCCCAGGGACCCCTTTTTACATGTGTAAAGTAAAACACATAGGATTGCAAAGAAAACCAGCTTTGTTGAAATACAGTTATCAAAATATTTAAAGAGCAAATTCGCGATCTGGTAATTTATGTGCTTTTTTGTGAATGCATTAAATAACAAGATTCAATAACAAGCTCTAGTGACGGGGCCAACATCTGTCGTTACTTCAAAGTCGTGACGAGCATAAGTGGTGTTCATTCAGAGGTACCTGCGACAGCTGCGGTGGGATAGGAAGAACCCGTGTTCTGTGGGGGGAACAAGTTCCAGGTGCTGCCCCACACCCTGTGGTTTGTTGCCTCCATCCATTGTGGCAGGAAATGCCAACTTTCAATGAGGGGTCAGGGAACATAAAGATGTCATTTTTTCCAGTCGAAATTCACAGACCCCTGGGTTTTCCATTCACAGATTCCAGTGAAGAACCCCTGGTGAAGGAATCTTTCTGGAACACAAACTGGAAGGTCACTGTCCTGCTTTATACCCTCCGATTGGAAGCTGCTGGAATTAAATGAAAACAACTTACCCTGCCTACATGGCCCAGCCCCTTCCAGAACCTTCCTCCTCCTACCCTCTACATCCAGCCACCTGGCCCTCTGTTGGGTTGGGGAACTCTTTCTGTCCAAGGCCTGTGTGTTCCCTCCCTGGCCCTTTCTCCCTTCGTCTCCTCCCCCTAGGGCAGGTCTTAGCGCCAGCTTGTCCCTGCACTTTCTCTTTCTTTCTTGATGCCTTGTTTTTCTTTCTTTTTGTCTCTCACCCTGCAGCTGATGGAACTATGTACCCACCCCCACCACCTGTGCCTGCGACCTTATTTGGAAATAGGGTCTCTGTAGATATAATCAGGTTAGGTGAGGTCATGCAAGGTTAGAGTGGCCCTCGATCCAGCAGCAATGTCCACATAAGAGAGAGAAGGAGGTGTGGACACAGAGACCCAGAGAAGCCCAGCTGAGAGGGAGGCACAGATGGGAGTGGTGTGGCCACTAGCCAAGAACCCCAGAAGCCTCCAGAAGCTGGGAGAGGCAGGAGGGATCCCCCTACCCCAAGACTTCGGAGTGAGTGAGGTCCTGCTGACACCTTGACCTCAGACTTCCAGCCTCTGGAACTGTGAGAGGGTAAGTTTCTATTGTTTTAAATCACCTGGCCTTCAGTGATTTGTTACAGCAGCCGCAGGGAGCTCATACACACCCAGACTAGAAGTTAAACTTCAGAAGAGCAGGGACCCTGCCTCATAGTCACTGCTTCACATGCCTGCTACACAGTAGGGACTTAGGAAGTGTTATTAGAAGGGTAGATGTGTTTTCAAACACCTAAGCGTCCGTCCACATGTGAGACATTGTTTCCTCCTCCTGGGTCTCAATGCTGACACTCCCAGCCACTGCATCCACCTCACCGCAGACATCACCATGTGGGTCTGCAGTCAGGATTGGCCCGGCTGCTCCCACCCCATCGGGACCCTTCCTGAATCTCCTTCGCCCT